AAAGATGTCCCCATTTTATTATTTGATAATATCTAGTCGTTTCAAACATTTGTGCAGTTATATTTATTATAATAACAAAATCTTAATGCGGTTTATAAACATATCTACATAGTTCGTTCCGTTCTTTCTCCAGCTCTAGGCAGAGGCCGAGTGTCTTCAAAATTTTTTTGACTTATCGCCTCTTGTAAGAACTACTCGGTGGCTGTATCAAATGTTATCAGAATGAATGAAATAAAATAAGAAGAATTTCTATCTTAACACGTTAATCACGACACAGAATATAGAGTCGTGGTAAAAGTGGCTGTGCCCCAGGTGTTTCTGAATAGATTTCCAACTATCATTGTAGGTATCAGATTACACCCAATTCAATTGATTGATTTAAAAGATAACTGAATTAATATTGTAACTGTCTTATTTAATATTCCCGGGATATCATAGAGAGGACATACTTTCTCAAGTCTATCAGTGAGAAATTTTATCCAAATAATGAATCTACAAAACAAGTTATCTCATATTATTATTTATAATGCATAAGTATATTCTAAGAATTGCATTAAACCATAAATAATCAAATATCATTCTATTTTAGCAACGCACGATATTTGGTCGATCTATGAGTTCAAAAACTTACTAAGTAGGTAGAAATTTTTAGTAAAATTTTTTCATAATTTTCTTTGGTTGAGTGCCAAATAAAGATAGGTAATTAGGTTCCTACTTTTAACAATCACAAATCACGAAAATACTTTTAAGTTTTATTTTTATTAAATGATAAGGTTGAACTTTGAAAGCTATAAAACAAACTTCCGTATGTAGTAACATAACATAACTTACAACCTTAAACGATAGCAATAGTTCCAGGTGAAACAGAGCATTAGTAAAACCGATCAGATACAAAGTATCCAGTAAGTAATCCATCCATCCAGACACTAAGTGCCTATTGTCTGTTTATTTTACAACAATAACAATCGTTTGTCCAATTTTTAAAAAAAATGTCGCGATGCGAGACCTTGAACGCTAACCTAGACTCATCAAGCTTACTTATATCGCATACTAGATAAACACGGAAAAAAAAAGTGAAAATCGATCAATTTCTAGAAAAATCTAAAATGCTGTAAAATTTTCTGTTAACGTTACACAGAATAACAGACAAAAGAAAACAATGTTTATGTACTTACCTTTATTACAATTACACTATTCCATTTGATTTAAAATTTAATTTTGGAACACAAACACGCCGCACTAACGCGTCTTAACCGTTCAGAGTTCAAGTTCAAAGTGAGTAGCTCGATGACAGGGAGAGCAAATGCAGTCTGCAGTTGATATTTGGGTTTTTTTGCTACGACGCTATCGACAATCTTTGCATTGGCCCTTAATAATTAAGTTTTCAAAGGCTTCTACTACTTCCTTAAGGATGAATTGATATATTTTTAATGGGTCCTAGACGGCCCTTTTTCATTCATTAACATAATTATGTCGTCATAATAGAATTTGGAAAAGTTTGGATAGCCAAAACGTGCATATCATATACGCTCATAATATTACGATTTATTTATTCACATATATACACCCGCGGCTCGGCTCCATTTATTCGTAGCTTGATATTTTATAGCCTATATTTATTTATTTAAAACTTCATGCACAAAGTACATAAGTGGAATTAATAACAAATTAAACATTCTTGATAGCCAACCTTTGGGCGATGCAGTAAGAATATCGTCGGTGCAAAAAAGTATAAGAACATAGTCAAGATAAAAGTAATTCATTAAAATAAATAATAATACAATAATGTAAGTACCTACATATATAATAATATGCATTAATGCACGTATAATACATAATTCATATATCTATACTAATATTACAAAGAGGAAAAATTTGTAAGTTTGTATGTTTGTAAGTTTGTATGTAGGGGGTAATCGTTGGAACCGCTAATTGGATTTCCAAAATTCTTTCATCGGTAGGTAGCTATAATGTTCTTGAGTGCTATAGGCTATAAAACATCACGTGACGATTTGTAGGAGCCGAGCAGCGGATGAAGCTGCGCGAGAGTAGCTAGTAATACATATAATATACTTAAGTAATATGATATATATTATACAAATATTATACTACACATATAAGTATAGGATATACACATAAAGTAGGATAGTTTATAATGATGCAGATTTTGCGAACTTTCCCTCCAAGATACACTTGCGATCTCCGGCTTTGAATGCATCCTGATTTCCAAGGGCAGGCCATTCCATAAGAGGATAGATTGGATGTGAAATGATGAGTGAACAGTGTTAGGCCTGTGAGAAGGACAGTGGAGAAGAAGATTGTGAGAATACCGAAGATTTCTCAAATGTCCCAAGTAACGGTACTGAAAATAAGGTGTATAGCACTCAGGAACATTGTGGCTATCTATCAGTGAAAGAATTTTAATTGGCAATCCGACCAGCGGTTCCAAAGATTACCCCATACATACAAACTTACAAATACCTCTGTATAATATTAGTATAGATTTCCTAAACCTACTGCGAAGTGGGCACCATTGCAATAGATAGCCAAATGTGTGTTTTGTTTTCAATGTTAACATAGTTATGTATTATATTAATACATAATTAAAAATTAGCAGTAAATCGTATGGGAAATACCATATACTGGTAAAATGAAATAAACATACTGCAATTATTAAGGTGGAATTAATGCGAAAACCTTTATCTGCCATTCAACCTTTGGAAAGAACAGAAATTTAATTACAATTTACATTCATTTTTTATATGATAGGTTTACCTTATGGTAAACAATCAGCGCCGCCCATTGACACACGCTACAACAGAGAAGTTTAACGAGTGCGTTGCCGACATTTTGCGGGATTAGGGATTTGGAGATTTTGATATTGGGAAGGGATTGCGGGGAGGACGGATTTGGCCTCAGATAACCTCACTCACACGGCGAAATACAACGTCGTGGTATCACTTAGGTCGAGCCGACGCGACGCTTTCGTGCCGAAACTTGACTCTCCCACATCACTCCTAATGGCAGTACTTTTAAGTATCCTACCTCGATGTCGACTCCTGGTAGAGGGAACTTCCTCTGGGGCTGGTGATCGCGCGGCACGTGGCGGAAGAACTCCTTGCCGTCCTTGTACCACTTGACGGAGTAGAGCACGTCGGCCGGGCCCAGCGCCCAGCGGCACGCCAGCGCCGCACGCGTGCCCAGCGGCACGTGCGCCGGCACGCGCAGCTCCAGCAACTCCAAAGATATAATGCTTTCTGTTACCAAAATCAATATTCATCATCTATCATGAGATCCTAGATAGATAAATTGTTCTGTAGTAGTTCCAAGTTCAATACTTTAAAAAAAAGCCTAAAAGCCACGTGTCTCGGCAAACGATCCTGGGCCCGAGTCTACTATTTTCAAAGTGTTGTCACGATTCCATTGTCATTTTGCTAAAAGTTCGTAATCTGTTTATTCAAAATGGCTGATCATTGGCGTTCGGCGATGTCGTAATAGAATTATAGTACGAGATGTCTTGTACTGAATTATACTGTGGAATTATAAACAATAACTGCACATTAATATTCTAAACGTAAATTATTGAATAAAGGAACTGTCATTTTTTTATTAATATACCGCATTATGTCAAATATTCATTTGTCATTATGTACGAGATTACCGTTCTAAAGACTAAAAAGATCATTGGAAAGTCATAATGACGCTATCGTGTTAGTAGATTACCAAACTTGTCAAAATCAACAATTTTGAAACCAATGATCTACTATTCTGACACTATAGTAATAGCAGACTCGAGGCCCAGATATATTACCTAAGTAATCAGCGCCGCCCATGGACCTCAGATAACCTCAGATAACGCCCATGGATGGTGTTGCTGGCTTTTTGGGGATTAGGGTTTCGGAGATTTTATCATTGGGACGGGGAAAGGGGAGCGTCAGGCTTAGTTCTCCGGTAACTTAACTTACACGGCGAAACACAACGTTGTGGTCGTTTCACGCTGGTTTTGAGGCCAAGGTAACACTCTGGTTGAGCCGGCCCATGGGTGTCGAAACTTACTCCAAACATCTGAGTTGATGTTCATCTCCACTCTTCTTGTTCCATACTTCCTCACTCTCTCACATGTTCTTTTAGTTTAGTAATAAAAAAGAAAAGAAAGATGTCTCTATTTGTGCACATGGATACTTTGATTATTTGTAATAACATAGCAAGCTACAATTGTCATAGATCTCATGACATTTTTGGAGATAATTGAATTGCATCTTTCGTATAATTAAAATATAAAGGCAACGCGTGTGTCAGCCAAACATTCCTTTTTTATTTATTTTCAAAGAAGTTTGCAATTTTATTTCGATGTTTATAATATTGTCTTACGATAAGACTATTTATTTGATAAGATCTCATAAAGAAATCATATCGCCAATGTTAAGGAACAAACAAAATTGAGTGAGATATTTTATTTTATTTAATAGGTACAAAAACAGACAACAGATATTATCATGTATAAACTACACATTGTATAAACCTGAGGTCCAATTATAGCCGTACACAGCATTTAACAGTTAAACAGCTTCAATCTTTATATATAAAAATGGATCGCAAAATGTGTTTGTAAGCGCATAACTCAACAAAGCCTGGAACAATTTTGCTAATTCTTTTTTTGTTGTGTTTGTTATTGTCAGGAGAAAGTTCTTATCAAAGAAAATATTTGAAAAGTAAAGAGGATGATTAGGAAAACGTAATCCTTTGATAGCGAGATAGTTGGACTCGTGCGAAGCGGGGGCTAGCTTTAAATATAAACAAAAAAACGTGTCACATACTCGTAAAAAAGAAATAAGGCGAAACGAAACATTACATTACATCATTTGTAAGTGTAGGTGGTTTGGATAATAAAGAGCAATAAAAACGCTATTAGTTCTACAGTATACATTTTTGTCTGGTGATTTCCTTTCATGTTTATTTACTATTCAAAGTAAATGTTAAATATTTTACTATTCTTCTAGCATCCAAAGCACAATGCGGAGTTGGCAGATCGGTGACATACGTCCGATGGTCAGGAGTGGCTCCGGAAACTGCGAAGCCAGTGTTTGTGTACTCCGCGAGCGGTGAGGAGCAGTCTTTGGCAGGAGCCTGCCTAGCCAGGTGTCGGGAGCTGGAGGAATGCGCAGCAGTCGTTATCGCATACGGCAGAGGAAACTGCCAGGGCATAGCAGATCAAACCTCAGCAAAACTAAAGGTGGACAACGATGTCGCATTCTTCAAGAAAGTCTGCTTGGCACGTAAGTATTAATTTCATACTTACTACTTTCTTACTTCGGTTAACCCTGGGACCATTTTGGACCAGAGTCGCGGAGGATCGAGCTCAATGGAGGGAGCTGGAGGAAGCCTATGCCAAGAGGCACGCCGAACTGCGTGACATACTATAACTATTTAAACACTGTATTGTTTTGTTTTTTTTTTTCAATGTGGTTCGGAATAAAAGGGCTTTATTATTATTATTACTTTCTTAATTACATACTTCATACGCTGGTTAATTGACTGAACGAAATAATTCCATTATTTTGATAACGTCTGCATCTGATGTGCCGTGCTATTATCGATACTTTATGAACCAATTTATTATAAAAAAACATTTTATGTTAAATGTTATGACAAATATTTAGTTTTTATTCCGCGACAAAAATCCAGGCTTGTTGCATGATGCAATCCCACTCCTTTGAAATGATGAATATGCACACGTGCAAAAAACGGAAAATCATGGTACGGGGCCAAAATCACCACGCGGGCTGTGGCCGCGTGGTGTTACAAAAATAATCCGATTTCAAAAAGTAAACTAAAAAGCAAATAAAATAAATTTTCTTTGTAAAAATTTATCGACGTTTTCATTTAGTTAAGTAAAAAATAGTAATTGATAACCATTTTATAATCTTGAATTCGGTGCTAAGTAAAACAAAAATAGTGTTATGATTTATGATTATTAGGTTAAGCAATCAATATATTTTTCTTACACTGTTGTTGTTTGGTATGACTTTGATGATTCACAAGGCACCGACATCAAATGACGTCGTGACAAAACAAAACTAAAACGTTTCCTCTGTCGACAGTACCAGACGAATGTAGCACACGATGGTGGATGTTGGAGAATACCCCTGGATACCACCTTCACTCTGAAGGGTCTCACCTGAAAGTCATTCTCAATACAACCATCTATGAGTGCTACGATGCTGTGTTCGCCTACAACGGCAATAAGAAGTTCAGGTAAGAACCAAGAACTGTTCTTTATTTAAAATTTTGAATAAGTGCCAAATTTATGTAGATGTCATGTTTTTATAATAACTATCGTGAGACATACTAAATTAACTAAAATTCGCGGCGACGTCGCGCAGCCTACAGAGTAGGCTGCGCGACGTCGCCGCGTCCGCGCACGCTGCTTATGAGGAAGAACCCCTCTGTGGTTCGAAACTAGTAGAGCTTTTCTCAACATTTACACGTGAGTAACCCGCGAATTTTAGTTAATTTAGATGTCATGTCTTTATTGTCTGTTGTATTGTCTAATGTGGTACCTAAATACGAGGATGTGTATAGGCAGCGTGTTAAAAACAATTAGACGGATTAAAATAAATTATATTTAAGTGTGGGAGAGCTATGCTTCGGCACGAATGGGTCGGCTCGACCGGAGTGATACCACGGCCTCACAGAAAACCGGCGTGAAACAACCTCAGCGTTGTGTTTCGCCGTGTGAGTGAGGTTACCGGAGGCCCAATCCTTCTCCACCCCCAATCCCTCCTCAATCCTTAATCCCTAAAAGGTCGACAACGCACTCGTAACTCCTACGTTGCCGGTGTCCATGGGCGGCGCTGATTACTTGCCATCAGGTAATCAGTCTGCTCGTTTGCCGATCTATTACATAAAAAAAATGGCATTTGTAAGGCCGTTTTTAGTAGGTACTAGCCATCCGCCCCGGTTCGCACAGCTACAACAAGTCCTAAAGGGTCCCTTTTCCCAACTTTCCCAACTTTTCTAACACACAGATAAGAATCTTCTCATGACAATAATAAATACAACAAAAAGAGAAAGAGAAGAAAATTAGTCCAAGCATTGTTGAATTATGCGCTTACCAACACATTGTGCGATTCATTTTTATATAATGTATATAGATATAGAAAAAGTTTTTAATAGGTATTAGGTACCTTCTAAAAACAACTTTTACTTTACGACATACAAAAAAAACATTTAATTACTTAAGTATAACAATTTAAAATCTGTCGAATGATCTTAATCAAGTTTTGGGATCAATGCCATTTTTAAATAGAAATAGATAATAAAAAACTCATTTGAAATAAAAGAAACCGTCCGTCCGTTGTAGATGCGAATAGTTTTTATTTACTACGTTAGTAATACGTTCCAAGGAGTTTGTTATTCACAGTTTTAAAAATAACTCTGTCACTTTTTTCTTGTGGTTAATATGACCAGTAGCAATACTAATTAGGTATGTAGTATCTACATTATGTAGCCTAACCTAACCTAACTATACAAATAAACATTAAATCCAAGTTCATTGACAATATAAGCATTCGTCATCCTTAGTTACCTAATTCATTAGTATTCATTGACTCTTTTCTTTAAATATAAACGCAATATAGGTATATCAGCCAGTATGTTTTATTTACTGCATCCGATATTCAATTTAGTTTCTACGAAATGTAATTGACCAATTTGGTTCATTGTCGTATTAAAGAAACAACTCTACAAACTAACGACCTTACTTTATTACCTACATAGATATTGCCAAAGAATATGTCGCAGTAAGATGGGTAAAGCCGTTATATAATTATAATGTTATATCCCTGGAGATATAATTATATACGACAGCAATTCATTACCATCTCAATAGGAATATACATAGTTCTAAAATGGTCACTGAGTTTAGTGAGATCTTACACTTCTATGTGTATAGTGTTTGTCACAAAAAAGTCATATTGAGTAAGTATATTATGGCTTAGGTATTTATTCCCAAACAATTATAAAAATTTTGAAATAATTTAAAAGTATGCCCCATTAAATTTAGTGAAATAGAAGTCCAATATTGACCTTGAACTATTAAATATATTCATTACCAAGTTCTGAGTCAAGAGCTTCGTACAAAATTTCTATCAAATCCGTCTATTTGTAGTAGATTATACGTGAAATAATGAAGAACATCTAAGTATCTACACATCCATATTTGAAACATTTCGCGTTTATTATATTTATACCTGGGATATGAAATTCATGAATATATTTACTTAACTGAGTAAGTAGTTTTATTACGAGGGGTAATTTAATACTAAGGCTATCTGATATTAAATATATCTTAACTGAGTACTTAAGTAGTTTTATTAGGAAGGGTAATTTAATATTAAGTATATCTGATATTAAACATATAGATATGTAGGTAGTAAGACTGTCAGCCGGAGTTGCGTGGCGCAATAAGGCACCTCCACCATCGGGTCCTCGGCCTAGAGCAGAATAGGGAACGGGGGGTTTTAGACAGCTCGAGTAATACACTATCTCTCGCCTCACCCTGGGCGAAAGAATTCGTTTGATGGTTTTCCCCTCACAAAAAAAGGTAGTAAGACTATACAATTTCTGAGACATTATAAGTTTTTTAATGACTATACTTGAGGAAACCGAAATAATTACCTTTGCCTTCCTCCAATAATAACGCAATCCATTCCACAAAAAAATATTTGTAATCTCTTTTCCTCTTCACAAAGTTATTCATACATATTTACGCAGACGAGCACAAAGGTTTATATGTATTTATATTAGGTAAGTACTCGTGTTATGTTATTATTATTTTCTGGCATCGAGAATATTTCCCATATTGGGAGGACAAATAGACATGTAGGTATGTAATTACTAGTAAATTGTGGTTGGAAATTCTATTTTTAAAACTGTTTATGAATGAAATACATTGTTGTTAATGAATGGAAATAATAACTTTGTAATCAAAATGTGTTACGCGTTAATTAATAAATTACCGAAACCTCCGTCAACATTGTTTGACTGTAAATTTTGGTCTTGCTGTAATACTTAGGTACTTGTAAAATTCTAATTTTGTTTTCATGTTGTGGGTATTGCGTATTCCTCTTTAGTAAGCCTGACATCACTCTTATCAGGGAATCTTCACCTAGGGGAAATAAGGTCTCAACCATTGAGTCACTTTTTTCTTTCAAGTTAAATTGGTTGGTGAGATTAAGATTCAAAATAGGAAACCAGTTTAAAAAAACAGTCTGTTGTCGTTAACGTAATAGAGCGATACTGCTCTGAAATCAACCTCTTTTTATTTTTCTTCAAATCAACCTCTTAGAATCAGAATCAGAATTTTGACTGCACGGTTGGCGCGGTGGTTGGGTGGGTTCGTTTCCTGACGGAACAACTCTTTATGTGATCTACAAATTGTTGTTCCGGGTCAGGGTGTGGTGTGTATGTTTAAATGTATGTTTGTAAACGCATCCACGACACAGGATAAAATCCTAGTGTAGGGTAATGTTTATTATATATATAAAAAAAAGAATCAGGTTGTTATGCCACTGGTTTTTTTTCTAACTTTTTTTATACTAAGTAAGGTAAATTACTTGCTTGGAATTTATCCTTTTATTAAAGTTAATAACCGACCTCTTATTCAGCACATCCTTCCTTATCATTAAGTATATTTTTGTTCACAGATCTGCGCAATGGGTAGTACCTCAGAGCGAATTCGACCCCGATGTCATCTACACGTCGGATTCCTTGGTTGGCAACTGTATCCTTAACGCGGAGAACAGATTCACTGAGCCGGAGTCCTATCGTGTATCGAATTACTACACTGTGTACATCGAAAACCAGTGTAGACATGACTGTGAGTCGTTATTTGTATCTCTCTTAAAATACTCTTGTAATAAAATCACACAAAAAAAAAATATCATGCACCTAAAATATATCCAAGACGAAATCGAATAGCATGCACTGTCAAAAGTCGTCTTTAGATCGATCTTAATTAAAATGTTTTATAAACTCTATATCTTCCTCAAAATGTGTAATCCTATATCCCCAAAAATATCAAGAATTTGGATAGAATTTGGCACACTTTGGCTACTTTCCAAATAAAACTGGTGTTCGTAAATTTTTCGGATTTGCTTAGTCACTTTAGTGTGGGAGAGCCATGCTTCGGCATGAATGGGTCGGCTCGACCGGAGTGATACCACGGCCTCACAGAAAACTGGCGTGAAATAACCACAGCGTTGTGTTTCGCCGTGTTAGTGAGGTTACCGGAGGCCCAATCCTTTCTCTCCCCCAATCCCTAAATCTCCAAATCCCTAATCCCTAAAAGGTCGGCAACGCACTCTTAACTGCTCCGTTGCGAGTGTCCATGAGGGCGGACATGGGCGGCGCTGATTGCTTACCATCAGGTAATAAGTTTGCTCGTTTGCCGACCTATTACATAAAAAAGTCATTAGTACAGTATTAGATAGATGTTTTAACGACGACATTGACGAATGTCTTCAGGTCATTTATGATTCGATCAGTATCTAGAACAAAGACAAGATATTTGTGGAACAGGAAAATATCAGTTGTTATGTTACATGCTAACAAAATGGCGTTACAAAACGACTCGTTTGTACTTATTATCGTAACACATTATCCCGCATGTTTAGGCGATGCATTCTATAACTATGCGGGACTTGTTGGGTTCATTAATATGTAAATATAGAGCAATACTTCGCTTTTTCATGTAACAGTCATACCGGTACATAGGTGGGCTTGCCTTTCATAACGTATTTTTACATATTCACTGTATTTTCCCTCTAAGCATAGTAAGTGCGTCAATAATTATTTTTTAGTATTGACACAGTTGGTGCACTAGTTCTGTGCATCGTATTGTGAGAAAACCAGAGGGCTTTGCTGATATCAGAAGCGGCTCACGGCCCATCTTGGCCCAGCCCATGGTACAGAGCGTGAAGAACTGAGTCGCCGTCTTCCATATCTGCGAAGACGTCATGGTCGTAAAAAAGGAGGCAGAACGCGTAAGGGAACATTCCTCCTCAAGTCCCAGCCGCTGCAGGAGATTCTTTAGGAGTTACGGATGGCGGAATCCCAAGTTCGAAAGGGAAAACACTCGTAGTCTTCTCTCAGACATTTTCTACCAGCTTCCATGGCAGGCACATGCCTGCTTCAGAAAAGGAATCCCTTAAAGCCAAAGATACAGGTCAGGCGTGGGATCACGCGTCCTCACTGTACACGAGGCTCAAGGTCTATCGTGTGCGACAGTCGTTATTGTGAACACGGCAATACAGGGCAAAATATATAGTAATGTGGGCCAACGTTTCAAAAAAAAAAGAAAGAAAATATGCTTGTTAGCATAATACACGCAATATCGCGTCACACGAACAGTTGTATCTACTACACTGAAAACAGTGGAGACGCGATAAGCAAGTTAATCAAACGGGCGGCCTACGAAAACGAGCTTAGTATTAAAAACTACAATGGGAAAGGAAAAGATAGTGAGGAAACCTGGACTTATAATTTCTAATTATAAGTTTGAAATCGCCAATCTGCGTTGAGCAAGCGTGGTGATGAATAGAAAATTATATAATTGTCTAGAGTTGGGCTTCCTATAAAACTTGAATAAGCAAATGACAAATAGTCACGTAAAGTACCATTAACTACTTAGTCGGGTCATAAGTTCTGTCAAAACCTTATATTTTTAATTTTCGATTACTGGCCAGAAATTCTTCGACTTATTTTAAAAATAGAACTTTCGCGCTTGTAGAAAATAAAAAAGAAATTATTTTTTATTCATTTTTAAATATGGAGTGGTCGAATAAAGAAGACAGAATCGCGGTTATCGCGTTGCACCGCTGTGGTTACGCGCCAAAAGACATTTTCAATATTCTTCAAAATTTGAAAATAACGTTACGGTTTGTTTATCGTACTATCAAACGATACACCGAAGAGTCAAGCTTCGAAGATCGTAAGAGAAGCGGCCGACCTCGCACAGTTCGGACACATAAGGTCATCAAAGCAGTGAAGGCGCGAATCGAACGAAATCCCGTACGTAAACAAAAAATCCTAGCTCTGCAGATGGGGCTAAGCAGAACCACTGTTAAAAGAGTACTAAATGAAGACCTGGGACTACGAGCTTATCGTAAAAAGACAGGACATTTTTTGAACGAGCGTTTAAAAAAAATTAGGCTAGACAGATCCCGCGCTTTGCTACGACGGTACGCGGGAAAAAAATACCGCGAAATTCTTTTTTCGGATGAAAAAATTTTTACTATTGAAGAAAGTTTTAACAAACAAAATGATAAGGTGTATGCCCACAGCAGTGAAGAAGCAAGCGCGCGTATTGCGAGGGTCCAGCGTGGGCATTACCCTTCCTCATTCATGGTTTGGCTTGGAGTCTCATATTCAGGCGTAACTGAGGTGTTTTTCTGTGAAAAAGGTGTGAGAACTAGTGCCGAAGTTTATCAAAATACTGTCCTAACAAACATAGTGGAACCTCTTTCTCAGACAATGTTCAGGAACAGGCATTGGATATTCCAACAGGACTCTGCACCGGCTCATAAGGCACGAAGTACGCAAGACTGGTTGATCGCTCGTGGAATTGACTTCATCCGGCATGAAGACTGGCCCTCTTCTAGTCCAGATTTAAACCCACTGGACTACAAGATATGGCAATATTTGGAGGAAAAAGTCTGTGCTAAACCTCACCCGAATTTGGAGTCTCTCCGAGCATCTCTGGTTAAAGCAGCGGCAGACATAGATATGAATGTGGTGCGTGCAGCGATCGATGACTGGCCGCGTAGATTAAGGGCATGTGTTCAAAATGGGGGAGGGCATTTCGAATAATGTAAATAAAATTATATTGTACATTTAATGACCTTTCATTTCATATATAATTTTTAAATAATTGTCAAAAGGCGTATAAGTTATTACATCAAAAGTTTGTGACAGAACTTATGACCCGACTAAGTATAACCATCTATTTATTTTTTAAGTTTCACTATTGCAGATTGCTATGACACCAAGGCTTCAAGGATTTAACCCCAAGCGAGTTAAAAAAAGTATCTGGTCTTTGTTTAAGACCCGCAATCGCAGCGTTATCAACGGCATCATCATCAGCAAAGGCCCCTTCTCGCAGTGAGATTTGATAATTAATCACCACGCTTGCACGCGGTGATTAATTATTCGGTGTGAGTTTCTCAAACTCACTATACCCACTGTTTAATGTCCCGAACAGCGACAAATCACAATGAAAGAAAAAAAGGTTGCAATGTTTTAGTTTTGTGTTAAAGTGTACGTACGCATACGTAACTGGAACGTCACATTGGTATTTCCCAGGTTTTGCACCCTCATTCATGAGAATCGAGTGATTTAACCTCCGGCCACAACGACATTGATGTATGTATGTACACATACTACAAATAATAATATAATATCACCTACAATAAATAATTTGATTCGCCAAAGTAATGTTACGGATAATCTGAAAGAAATAATTTAGTATAATTTTAAACAGTGACGCCAGTCGAACACGTGTCCCGGGCGTTTGGAATGTAGGTATATTTGTTATATATTATAGATGCAGCCATTGCCGATATCCAGCCTAACTTGCGAATCACATCAGATCATCAGCCCATAAGTGCCCACTGCTGAGCAAAGGCCTCATGTCACACAGAAATGGTTTGAGCATTAGGTAATCACCACGCTTGCTCAATGTGGTTTGGCGATTACAAACTTATAATTAGAAATTATAAGTCCAGGTTTCCTCACGATGTTTTCCTTCACCGTATGTCAGAGGTGTCTAAATAATCAAAGAAAGTACATATATTTCGGAAAAAGTCACGTTGGTACTTGCCAGGTATCGAACCCATGCCCTCATGTATGAAGCGGGCTTCTTAACCTTCGGGCCACCACATCCTAACATGCGAATGCAAGCGTAATAATGTAATGTAAAATCGTGCCTTGGTTTGAAGCAGAAGGAAGTAGAGGTTTTTAGTCAGTAAGTCTGACGCTCCCTCGCTACACTAAGGGCAGAAAAAAATATTGGATCATTTTGTCCTCTCAAAAAAGCCCTTAATCGTACCGTTTTCACATCGAGAGATATTTATAAGCTTGACTCTACTTTTGTTTAAAAATCCTACATCTCACAATATCTAATAGTTCTCACATCTATTATAATAGTCTATCTAATAGTTCACATAAGTGAAATGTGAAATTTCTCATGGGATTAAATATTATGACCACAAAAAATACTTTGAAACTTAACACCAAAAAATAAAGTCTAAAATAACAATAGCTGCAGCTGTTTTAGTCACGACTGCACTTTAAATTGTATTCAAAATTCAAAGCTCAAAAATAGTACTTATAATAATATGACCTCCAAATTTCAACGAGAATATTAATGCGTTATTTTTGCCTAATTAAATCACTATGATTGCTATAAAATGTTTTAACATTTCGCGATTCGAATCGCGATTGTTTTGTGTTAGTAAAAATGTAGTAATGCCACGTTTTAAGTAATTATTATTATCACTTATTCCATACAGATCTTTCTTACTTTCAAGTAAATATCTGCTGTTTAAACTTCGATTATTTTTTGTTTTTATTTCAGTGATGGCTGAATACGACTGTACTTAAATTTTTTAAAACCTTAAAATGTAATGTGTGCGAATAGCCTACTACATATTTGTGAGGGTGTCGATTCGCATGCCAATAAAAAAATTCGTGCGAATCGACTACGGAAAAAATAATATGTTTTAAAGGAGTCGATTCGCACGTTTTGTGCGAGTTAAATTCGTGCGAATCGTCCAATAAGCCGCGATGAATATAAAATTAATTAAAAAAAGGGTAATTGTGCTATACATTATTGTAGAACATAGATTTCCTAAAGTTTTATAAGCACGAGACTGACTTTTATGTTTAAAGGAATACGATACCTTTTTATTTAAGCACGTATAAATCACGCTACTGAGAATTTATCCGGAGGGTCTGTTTAACCGAGTAGGTGATATTGTCTGACATATCTACAATGTTGTATTATAATAAAATGGCGCCAATTCTTCTTTATTTCAGATCCACAAAAGATAGAAAGATGTTCCTATGAAGAATACTACAATCAGACGCTCAGACATGTTGAGTTTACTATGAAAAACTACACGAGAGATAAAGTAAGTTGTTTTTTATGCTATAGGTCGTCAAACGAGCGGACGCATTACCTGATGGTAAGCAATCATCGCCGCCCATGCACACTTGTAATACCAAAAGAGGTACTATAAGTACGTTGCGCGCCATGGCGTCTTGTGGATTACTTATTAGGGATTTAAGGATAGGGGATTTGATGATTGTGGATGGTAGGGGCAGGATTGGGCCTCCGGTAACCTCATTCACACAATGTAAGTGTTGTTTCACGCCAGTTTTCCGAAAGGCCGTGGAATCACTCCGGTCGAGCCGGCCCATTCGTATCGATGGCTCTCCCACACTTAAGCTTAAAGTATTTTCCTCTTTAGATATAAGACACAATTTATTAAATGGATATGTCACAATTAACGAGAATTAGTCATTCGCATTCGTAATTATATTATAAATTCGATTTCTACGAATTAAAAAGCAGTAAGACCCATGTAGATATGTAAATTAATTGTTCTCATAATTAATGTAATAAGTCATAATATTTAAAACATATTATCGCACAATATTGTTCTCCGTAACATGCTGACTTAATGTAATTTATATCTTGTTTTCCGCGAATGATAAGTAATTAAATTTATAAATGATCCAAAAAAATTAGCAATGAACTTGGTACCAAGGACAATAGAGGTGATGACAGAGTTTAAAAATAAAAAGTCTATGTAGAGCGTTAGTGAGATAACGAAAAAATATATGTAGGTATTAGTCATGTTGGTATTTTTCTTATTTTGTGGTATAAGAACAGAATTAAGTATTCTGTTAGATAAAACCAAACGGCAGGCACTTTTCAACGTTAAACAACGACAAATAAAGATATAAATTGTCAGTCTGTCGGTCCGTCCTCTTAGTAAAGCTATTTGCTCGTTTCAAAGTGTGGATTCCGATGGTGCATATGTAAATGTATCTATTAAACGGTCAATGAGTCATCAAACTCTGAGAACACCTGCTGTCTTACTGTTGTGTCACATATTATCTACCAAAATTAAAAAGGTTATAAAATGACATCGTCCTCATTCCAAACTTTGTACTAAGTACATACAATGAGAAACTGAAAACCCCAATAGGTATCAACTTCAGACTCCAGAGCAGGTAATTATGACGACAATGCCACAAATGAGGATAGTCTGTGATAAAATACAATTGAATTTTTTTATCAATTCCAATTAAAGATATTCATAAATAATGAGGTCAAATCTTGTATTAATTGTCGTGCCATTAATCAGTTCGTTATGTTAATCATTCTATTGTTTAAAAAGGTAGGTATTTAAATTTATTGATTAGGAATGGTTAAAGGAGTTGCTACAAGTGCGTTGCCGATCTCTTGTTGGTAATTAGGGATTTAAGGGGATTTAAGGACTGAGGATGAGGATGGTAGGGGAAGAGGAATTGGGCCTCCGATAACCACAGTACCACACTCACACAGCGTAAGTGCTGGTTCACGCCGGTTTTCTCTGAGGTCATTGTGTCACGCCGCTCGAGCCGGTCCATTAATGTCGAAAGCCATGACTCACACACACATTTGTTATCTATTGGTGTTTTTATGAATGAATATTTACTAGCAATACGCCAATGTAGATAAAATGATCTCCCGTTTTGTTCTATAAGTTTAACTAGTACTTACTTTCTAAATTATTTTACCTGTTTCTAAATTATTGTTGCTTAAAGTACCTCGTGGTAGAGGGGCAGACCTCAAATTACACTCAGGCTAAGTTACAATTCTCATTTTGTTATAAGTATGTATTTATATACGTAAGTGGGCAAAAAACCTCCATTCCAGCCTTTGTTAAAGAATTACAATCCTTTAGTTCCCAACAAGTAAAATACAATATTTTTATTAAAATGACGAGAACGATAACTGTGTTTAAATGTTGTATGAAATCGCAAAATATGACGTCATAATTAACTAAAATTAGGTATGTCGTCAAATAAATGAATGAAATTACGATTGTATTATAATAAGAAGAGAGTAAAAGAGTTTATTTTTGATCTCGGAAAACACCCAATCGTTGAGTCATCGTTGTCTTCATAAACCAACCAACTTATTTTAATGGTTCTTTTTCAGTGTAAATCGTCCTGTGAACAGTCTGAACTGTTCATTTGCCGGGGGTTCACGTGGATATCCCGGGAGAAGGTCAAGGGTGGTGGGGAGCGGGGTCTTTGCGACCTGCACAGTGAAGACCTCATTACTACGGGCTCCTGGCTACTGAGACGAATTTCCTCCGCTACTTATTACCGCAGAGTGGTTTGCTTGAACAGTATGTATATGTCTTCTTTGTTCTCCCGATTGCTTACTTGCAGTTAAGGCAATGTCCTTTTCCCATTCTACCATTTCAATGATCCTGACCACGATTGACCCGGCGGCTGGGCAAACGACAGCCGTGCTACGTGTCGCGGGCCCGATTCCGGCACGGAACAACTGTTTGTGTGATCAACAATTCGTTGTGGATCCCGGTCTAAGTGGCTTGTGTATGTAAATTTGTATATTTATAAACGCACCTACGACACAGAAGAAAATCCTAGAGGAGGATAGATAGAGCGATTTTATTATAACAGAAACACAATTATAATTACGTTATCATATTTTCATGTAGGTAATAAAATTACCATTAGGTGATCCGTGTACTTAGTTGCCAAATTAAATATTTTCCGCGTATTTGTCTCTGCGTTGATCGCCATGAAGGGCAATGTGTGAGTCACACACGCACACACACACACATGCGGAGTCTTTGCCCTTACAGTAACAGTTATTCGTCGCCATATTATTACATTATATTTCATCACCTATTATTCTTTTCTGTATCTAAATAGCTATACTTACTTATGACATAATCAGACAAATATATCTCATATCTAGGGTCACAAATAGGTAGTTTCTCGAAATTTTTATCAGCAAATGGTGTCATCAGACATTTTTCAGTTCCTAGAAAACAATATTTAGTTATTTTTTATCATTAGGTAATCCCAATTGAAGTATTAAATTTTTTAGTATGTTATTTTAGGGTGGCTCATGGTAAGCTATTGGCGCTGCTTAGGTATACACACCAGTAAGCCCAGAATCAAAAGTGCTTTGCCGGCCTTTTGGAATTAAGATTCCTGAAATTTAGGGATTGGGGAGGATAGGGCCTCCGGTCACTACTCACATGATAAAACAAAATACTGTGATTGTTTCACGCCTTTTATTTATGAGGCCGTGGTATCACTCCTGTCGAGCCGACCACATTTAATTATTAAATTAGTGCGCATAATATTGTCTTAATATAAATAATCTATGACGTTAAGATTTTCAACAGGTAATATAATAATATGGTCTGCTATTTACCAACCTATTACACTAGTTACAATGGATTTAAAAATAAAGATGAATAGTAAAATCCGTCTGTGTTATTTTAGTCCCATAACATTATTTGTTCCAGTTTCAGTGGAATGCGAAAGCACGCAAATGGTAGTGACATACCGTCCACACGGAATTTTCCGTGGTCGGTTGTATGTCCCCGGAAGGGGGGAGAAGTGCAGTGCTAGGGCTATAGGTCACACTGTGCGACTCAACCTACCCATGCAAGGAGACTGCGACGTTAACTTCGCTTACGGCATCTCAAACGGTCCTAATGGAATCATTAACAGGTAATTTTTGCGCTTCTACTTTCTGCCAACTTCGCTCTTTCAGATCTGGGATGTTATGGATATGGAATTCCGGATACGGATATGAAATTATTTTGGATTATCCGTTAGTTCCGGATAATTTCGGCTACAGATATTAAAATTTTAAAGAATTTCAAAAGTAAAATACAAATAGCTAATAAAAGGTTTCATTTTATGCCACCAGCGATATTACCCGCCCGAAACTTTCATATCGGATTCAGTTACGGTTACCGAACTTTTATATCGGATATCCGATAGTTTCGATTACGGTTACGGAGCTCTCTAACACCCCTGTTCCAGACTGTAACTCTGTTTTTGCCAAATTTCATTCCGATCCGTTCAGTAGTTTTTACGTAAAAGACTAACAAACATTTTTCAATACAAAATAACTTTCGCAATTATAACATTAATAGGATTTTGTTTAAAAAAACCTCAGTTGAACATCAAAAGCTTACAAATCGAGGATGATTCAATGAGGAAAGAGTACTTAGTTAACTTGATCGAGATGTTATTCCAGTTAATTCGTTGTATGTACAAGTCTTGGAAGAAGTGATGAAGTCTCTTATAGAAATAAAAGACTTTTTCATTTCTCTGTTCTAAGAAAAAGCTCATAAAATTGAGCGCATGTCATCAAATACTTGCTTGACTAGTTCACGCCTTATCAGGGTAATAAACGTTGACCCAAGTAGTCTGTATGTAACAACTTAATTATGTAAATGTGAGTAGGTAAGTCGAGCAGACTTCCATAAAATATTTTACCAAATGTCTACGTAATTGCTTCATTGTATGATGATTTATTGCAGGACGATGGCATACGTGATCGTAATGATTCAGAACAATCCGATCATACAGACAGCGGGTGATCGGTGGGTGCGGGTGGGTTGCTCACCAGACTCAAGGACCGTTAAGCAGGTTGGCACCACCGTCTCTGTTAGAGAACTCGGGTAAGACAATAATGATTTTTACAGTTAATACATACATACTTATCATCTCATATACGTTCGTTAAGCCATTGGAATATGCCGAGAAAATGGCAAACCTACCAAATGACACAATACTGCCATATTTTCTATTGCTTTATCTCAAACTTTATCTACATTCGTCAATCTTCAGGACAGGTGTTCTGGGTCGAGTTGAAATTTAAACCTACTACAAAGGCGTCTTTTACTGTAACAATGGATCTCGTGTAAATATCAAAATATACGTTCCCAGTATACCTACCAACTGTAGTAAAAACTTGAATGTTTGTATTTATGACTCAATATAAAATACATTGCGTGTGGATCCATGTCTAAAACATACGAAGAGTGAAAGTTCCAATTCGCCCAGTCGTGAAGTGATACAGAATTACAGGCTTTAAAAAGGTATTACGGGCTTTTTACAATAGATTTCTATTATATTTCAAAGTGCCTCACTGGTGTTTATTTATGATTATGTTTTTTAAAGCTTACCAACTAACATACATACACAGACATGAGAATATGACAAAAAGCAGTAAATATTTGCTCTTAAATTGAACTGCCTACCAGTGTTGTTAGGCACAAACACAAATGTAAATAATTAATAGTTAAATAGACGTTAACAAATATGTAGTGAAAATAATGAAATAGTAACAATGCAGTGCAAGGATAATTTTAAAAACTAGGCAAACTATGAATTCCTGTTTTAAAGCTGTATGGATACCTACTTGTTATAATGTACCGAGCCATCTTTTATTTTTGTCAGGGGAAAATCATCAAATGACGTCTCCCGCCCAGGGTGAGGCGAGAGGAAGTGTCAGACTCTTACTGACTAAAAACCCCCCGTTAACTCCTGCTCTAGGCCAAGGCCGCGGTGCCTCATTACGCTTGCCCCGGCTAAACATCAGCCCTATAAGGCCCAGTCTGTGAGCCTACTTAGATAGAGTACTTCTCTGCAGAGGTTACAGGAGTCCGATGTTACCGACTGAGCCGGAGTCGCCAGCTCATCAGGCTCCGGCAGCGGCGAGTGCCATATACGGCGGCAGTAGCACCCCCATCTCCATGTATGTGGTGCGGGCTCTCGACGAGACTGGAGCTGGTGCCGTGTCGCTAGGAGAGCCTCTAGAACTGAGGATCGAGACTACAGGTTAGTGTTCTTTACCAATTTTTTGTAAGTAGAAGGTTTTAGTCTGAGATATATTTGAGTTAGATTCTCTAACCGAGCCAAGTACTGTTTTGAATTTTCAAATTTTTTATGTAACTAATGGAGTTAAAAAAAGTCAAAAATCATTTATTCCAATTAGACCTTTACAGGCACTTTTGAACGTCAAACAAAATTTTGAATATATAGTGTCAGTCTGTCGGTCAGTCCTCTTAGTGAAGCTATTTGCTCGTTCCAAAGTGTAGATTTCGATGGAGAAGAACGAGCAAGAAACTCCATGGTTACTCTTTTTAAATCAGTTTCATATACAGATTCCTTTTATTTTACAAACAGTTGGTTCAATTAAGTTTTTTGTGATTGATTACTTGGTGGTAAGCAATCAGCATTTATGGACACTTATTATACCGAAGGAGTTACTAAAAGTGCGTTGCCAACCTCTTGTGGGTTTATATTAGGGATTCGAAGATTGGGGATGGGGGGAGAAGGATTGGGCCTCCGTTAACCTTCCTTAAATTCATGTTGAAGCATGGCTCGCCCATACTTCGGTAGTACGTGGCTACCAAGGCGATTTTTTTTACTTTACGTCAAAGTAATTCTTATGTAAATATGAAGATATACGTTCCCAATTGCAATTCGAATGCAAACAATCTTAAACAAATAATGTTGGTACTATTATTTTAATCATCCGACGTTTAAATAAATTGATAGTTCTGTCATGCGCGAAGTTACATAAAAAGTCGACAATTTGTGTAATTTCATGTCTCATTATGCTGTTGTTTGAAGTGACACCCTCGATTGCAGATAATTTGGAAATTAAACCGTATCATCTGGTGGCTTCTTCGAGGCTTGGAGACAGTTCTGTACTGCTGCTTGATAGTAGGGGCTGTCCTACAGGACAGGTAAGTGCGATTCCACTTTAAATAAAATGATACATTTACAATTAATTAAAGAATGGCTAAAAGCAACGATAATCCATGTGCAAATCCAAGTGAAAACTATTTAGATTTTTCTTCCCCTTAAATGATCTTCTGGTTTATTTCGTGCGGGATTCGAAACAGTCATTCCTGTTCCGGGTAAGCGATTTCAGTGTTTCGGTGTCTTCATGGTTGTATCTACTGTAGATCCTGGCTTATAAGATTTGTTGTAATTTTGAGAGGTAGTGGCGGGCTTGTCCCAAAAAGCTGAGTTTTAATCGGAGAGCACTTTCGCCCTTAAGTGTATTTGAACACAGAAGAAAATATTATAGCGTTTGTATTTTGTGTTACTTATTAAAATTGTTACCACAATCTCTAGGTGGACTTCCCAGCGTTCTCCCGGAGCTGGGTAGGCAGTGTACAGCGGTTGTCAGCACGGTTTAAAGCCTTCCGCTTCCCTACATCACACGTCGTTAGATTCGCGATTATGGTCCGCTTCTGTGATCAGAAGTGTCCTGAGGTGAGTTTTACAGACACACAGGTAATACGTGCATTAATTATTGCTGTCGTCATTTTATGATAACATCTTTTTTATAATTTTTGTGTCAGGTGAAATGTAATACTGGCAAACAAACCCGTAATACCCGTCAGACCAATGACACGCTATACCAATGGAGTGAAGAGGTAGCTGCTGAAGTGCAACCTGAAGAGGTCGGGGATGATGAGGGGTATGTAAGGCCTGACGAGGCCCCGGCGCCGGGGGCCGCGGCCAGGGTAGTGGCGCGCGGAGCGGCAGGTGGTTGCGCGCCCTCTAGTGGAGACTCCCTCGCCATGACCTTGGAGCTGCTCGTCGACTCCAAAGACATCCTCTCAGCTGACACACTGGTCCGAGCCGACCATCGCGCCACATTGCGTGAGTATTTTTTTAATCATAAGTATTAAGGAAAGTTTTATATATCACACGAAGCATAAAAACATCGTGTGTAGTCCGATTTACCTACCCTTTAGATTCTCGTTTAGTGCAGATATTTTTTTTATGTAATAGATCGGCAAACGAACTGACGGATTATCTGATGTTTACCAATCATCTCCGCCTATGGACACCCGCAACGGGGTTATGAGTGCGTTGCCGGGCTTTTGTGGATTAGGGTTTCGGACATTTACGGAATGGGGACGGATGGGGGGGAATGGAAGGATTGGGCCTCCGGTAACCCCACTCACACGGCGAAAAACAACGCTGTCGTTGGTTCACGGTTTTCTGTGGGGCCCTACGACTACTGCTACTACTTAAACTGATTTAGACTTAAAGAACCAACTGATGTAGATATTGCGTGTGACCGTTAGTCCGTTTTTCGATAAATTTTGACTAGTGATCTGAACCAGTATTACCTAGATTAGATGTTATCTTCAATGCGGTCTTATCCAGATATATTTAACGGCATGTCCTGTTGATTTGTTGAAGCGGAAGACAGCAGGCCTATCGAAGACGGTGCAATGGTGTGCATCCATGAGTTACTGCTGGTGACGCTAGCACTGGCCTGGCTTGCAGTACAGATTATACTCCTACTTGGCTGCTGTGTACTTGTCAAGAGGTAATTACCATAATATCCTTGAGAATACGGTCATTACGTTCAACGTGTGTGATTATTTGCTCTGAATCTAGATATCCTTAATTATTCATTATATAAGTCATTTCAAATAAACTTTTCATTGTCGATGTTGTTGATCACCAGTGAAGTTTTTTAACATTTTATATAAGTGCCCACTGCTGAGCAAAAGCCTTTTCTCATACGGAGAAGGTTACAGCATTAATCACCACGCTTGTTCAATGCGGGTTAATTAGAAATATAAGTCCAGGTTTCCTAACGATGTTGATGGTATCGAAATGATCATAGAAAGTACATATAATTCGGAAAAAGTCACATTGGTACCTTCTTTTCGTCACGCGTTATTCTTACCGATGACGATTAACGTCAGCGTAAAAATACATAAAAAGAAGAAAATAACTATAAGTACTAAAAGTAAATATACTTCTAGGTATTAATTTCTTAAAAATCGAATACTCTACTGTGCTCAAATAAATCTTGCTAAAGAGTTTCTTGTCTTGTTATTCAGGTACCGCAATTTGGCAGAAATGAATATGCAAAAGGACTACCAGTCGTTCGACAACGTAGGCTTCGAGACGGGCTCCACCGTTAGACGTGTGCACTGGCCGGACCAACACATTGATATACTGCATACCACATAAATATTACATAATTATGTAAAAATATATTGTAGGATTGATGCAAAATTTAGTAAAAACGATATTTGCCTTAGGGCTGATTTTTCAATTGTCAGATAAATGTTATCTGAGGAATAAAATTGTTGTTGTCACTGTCTTAAACAAACATTCTGATGCGACAGCATTATAATTAATTCCCAGGTAACTTTTATCTAACCATTGAAAAATCAGCCCTAAGTCCTTTAAACGTTTCCGTCAATATTTTTATAGATCTAGAGATTTCGAGCTATGTGGATCGGTTATTGTATCTGACAAAGTAGCTTAAATACTAAATATACGCCATTATAAATAGAACATGGATACTTTTGTCCTTTTTAGTACCTACCTTATTGGTATTTTAGTGCCAATTTATAATTTGTAATATGTAAAAGTTTTAAAATTTTATTTCTAAGAAATATGTAAACAGTTTTACGCAGAAATGTACCTACCTAATTCATATACAAGTAATTAAGCAATCGATTTTTAATTTCTGTAAATATATGGATCATATCACTTGTGTCCGTGTATGACAAATGCAAATACTATTTTTTTCATAGATCTTTCTTTATTATATTGTAAAACAAGTTTTTCTGTCATTCCAAATTTTGCTACGTACCTTAACCTACTGTAGGTATCTAGATTTGTAGGTTTCTATAAAAATACCCATGCGACTAAATATTTCTTCAGTTAGTTCTGTAAATAGATTTTAAGCTAACTGTAGTACCTAAATAGCAATTACATATATTGTAAAGGGAATTGTAAATATAATTATTCTTCAATATACCTAGTTGTTTTGTTTACGTTTATAACATTTATTTAATCCTATATGAGGGCGATGTTTTCCCGCTCAACAAAAAACCACCACTGACAGTTTTAAGGCCCGTGGCTCAAGTTCTAAACAAAATTATTCATATATGGTGTAAAGTTCCTCCTCCTCCATTGCAAGGGAGGAACCTACGTCCAGACGAGGGTTGTGTCTGGTAGGCTACTGCCCAACCGTTGCCGGTAGGATTTGCCATAGGCATAGGTATGCGTTTTGTTACGCCATCTGTTGTCGCTAGGAACTATGTCTGTCACACTAGGTCCTTATGTACGGTGGGTACATAAGGACCTAGTGTGGCGACAGACATAGTTCCTAGCGACATAGTATTACAGGTTTAACCAATAAGCGGCAAGGAAACCTGTTAGTACATTTTTTTCATATTCAAACTGGTCAATTAGCCACATTATACAAATATACTTTGGGAAAATTTGTTTTCTTAAATTCTTGGCCTTTATTGGCCTTCCAGAGATGCGTAGATAAGTACTTAGATATTTTTACTTCACCAGTTATGTAGGTCGTAGGCTTTTATTATACCTATATACCTATTATAAGTTTACAATCAAAGTTCGTTATACATATGTAAACAGTAGAATAATACAAAAGATCTTTCGCAACATTTTATTTACAGAATAAAATATTTTTTACATTTTTCTTTTGTCATTCAATGACATAGGTAGTCAATTGTTGTTTTTTTTATTTTGTTATAAATAACTCATTTTTCATTACATCTCAAATCAAATAAACATAGCAAGTCAGTCACGTGAACATCGATTTGGTTTTAGAACTTAATAATTAAAAATTCGCTTATAGATCCATCATCTCATTTTGACATCGCACCTACACAAAGTAGAAGCTACATAAGTATTTAATAGTTCAATGATTTGTTATCTAGGCTTCTTATGCAGCTAAATCGGTAATGTAGATGGAATTAGTTCACTGGGTGGCATTAGGTGATGCGGTGTGCGGTGGTGGGGCTGACAAAGGCGCTGGTGCGGCGGGCTGACGCGAGCTGCCCCGCGGCGCCGCCTGCCTCACACTTTGTCTGTTCGACGCTGCGTTGTAATGGTACCCGTCGAACTTGTCCGACGCACCTCCAGCTGGTGGGTAGGTCGCTGTACCCATGTACATCACCTGCAAATGGCAATAGATGTATGATGTAAGTGTAGGAGAGCCAAGCTTCGGCACGAATGGTTCGGCTCGACCGAAGTGATACCATGACCTCACAGAAAACAGACGTGCAACAACAACAGGTTGTGTTTCGCCGTGTGAGTAAGGTTACCGGAGGCCCAATCCTTCCCATCCCCCAATCCCTAAATCTCCAAATCGCTATTCCCCAAAAGGTCAGCAACGCACTCGTAACTGCATTGTGAGTACCCATTGGCTGCGCTTATTGCTTACCACCAGGTGATCCGTCTGCTTATTTGCCGACCTATCACATAAAAAAGCTTTCCAAACTACACTGCTCTACAATGATCGTGGTCGTTTTTCATTATTAGTAAAAACATTACCCACACTAGAATTTTCTCCTGTGTCGGGGGTGCTTTTACAAACATATAATTTCACATACACATCACACCCAGACTCGGAACAACAATTTGTGGATCACAAAAGAGTTGCTTCGTGCGGGAATCGAACCCGCGACACGTTGCGCGGCAACTAGCTGCCGAGCCACCGCGCCCGTGCAGTCAAGCGGTCGGTCTTCTATTGAATAAGTTTATCCATGCGTGATCTATAACTCACTTGACCAAAAGGTTGCCACAAAAGATTACCTAGGTACATCACCTACTTGCCTAATAGGATAATTGAAATCTATCGTTGGAAGTGGAGTGTGTTATAAATAATAGTTCAAACCTGTGGCTTGTACCCGTCAGGCCCAGCCTCGTACTCCACGAGCTGCATTCTGCCGTCGGGCAGGAGCACGTGGTAGGAACCAGTAGCATGGTCCTCTTTCCTCTTCTCATTATGCCCGAAGTCCAAGCTTACTCCATTGTCTTGTACGTCGTATGAGAAGTCATAGTTAGCTGGCAACTGTGAACAAAGTAATATTAATAAAACTTGCTTGCTATGTTTGCAAGTATGCGTTCACATAATTCTACAATGTTATTTTTTTATTAGAATTTCTCTAGTCTCTAGCTTCCTATGTTTAACATAAGGACTGTTTTGAGGAGAGAAAATAATTCAATTAATGATTTTATGATTTTACCGACTTATAACCACCCCTGTTGCGAGTTGTGGAAGCTGATCATTATTGTACTTGCACCAACAAACCCGGCAATGTTGATGTTTTTATACTACAGACTAACGAGTTCAGTGACATGCAATTAAAGGGACCTATCGCTAGCAACGTTGCCAAACTGATGAACAAAGACTTACCGTCGGTTCCTGTAAAGGTTTCTTAGGGCCTCCGATCTTGGGTGGTAAATATTCTTGTGCATTCGCATTGGACCAAAGCGACATCAGTAAAGTTACCTGAAACGTAGGGATTTTAGTTTTTACTTTTACTTTTCATATTGAAATCTTCATATTTGTTTATTATCTTTAACTTTAACCAACTCACACAAATAATCCGCCACATTTTAATATTATACGCGTGCTTCCTATTCGGGTACACTGGGTGGTTTTGAGAGCTTCAAGCAAAAGTACGATGTTTATAAACCAACGGGGTTGCGGTTGTGGTAACTCCGCCCCCTGGCAGTTTTTCATTAGCAAAGTGCACGATCCACGAAAATTTCGAAATAAATTTTAATGGCTTAGTTCATGCCGAGTACTCTATTTATCCATCTACCAACATCGGTCGTGGTTATAATTTACATTTTGTACAACGTAAAATTATTTTATCTTACGTCTGAAAGACCTTGTGTTTGTGTAGTTACCAACCAAGCTGCAGGCGCACGGTGAGCTTGGCAACCAGCTGCTGCGCAACGTGTCACGGGTTTGATTTTTACGCGGCACAACTCTTTGATTCTCAAATTGGTGTTTTAGGTCAGGGTGATATACGTAGGTAAATTTTGTATGTTTGTAAACGCAAGCATGAGGGACTAAGGATTTTTAAATAAAAATGTATTAGGAATACCAAGCATTATATTATTCTTATTTCTAGTTTTTGAATGCATTAGGTACAGCTTATCTATAGTTTTACATAGAAGTCACAGTCCCACACTACCTTCCTAATTAGTTTTTGTACACATAGATACCTACTTACGCACTTCAGTTAAGTCTGATCAGATGTAATTGATATTTTATTGCATTTTATTATACGTACTAGTGGTTACTTTATAAAAAAATTAAGAAAATTAAACAATGAACCAAAGTGTACTAGTTAAATAAAAATGGAAAAACAAATAACATGGCGTTCAATTAAATCATTACCTATTTAATGAGACACAAGTTCTAAGTGTGTGTCTAATTTAAAATTTCACTTTATAAAATGACCCGATAAAAAGGAGAATATAAGTACATAATTATAATTTTATTATTAAATGATAAATAAATTGCACGTAAAACATTTCGTAGCGCAGTTAAAATGCTTTTTTATCTGTAAAATTAAGTCGAATTCAGTTGACACTTTGACAGTGACATTGATTGACCATATGACCAATTTGACAATCTTGACAATTTGACAATCTTGACATTAAATCAAGAAGGGAGAACACGCTGAAACTAAGACTTCCCTGATAAATTATTATGAAATTGATAACGCTAAGGTTCTGAATTAAATAATTACTAAGTGCCCGTAAAAATGAACTCTGTGCTACGAATTAGGTGTGGCGCGCTAAGTCGTGCATTTAGTACTTCGATTGTAAAAAAATGTGCCGTGCCCCCGGTTCCGCCTAAGAAACCAAAGAAGATAACTTCAGCAATAACATGGAAGTCCATGACTGCGACTGCGTTAATCGGTGGTGGACTGACTGCGTTCATGATCTATCTCAGACATGAGAAACAGGAGGCTATAGATCGTGAAAGGAAACGGCAAATTGGAAAGGCTAAGATAGGAGGCCAATTTGAACTGATTAACACAGAGGTAGGTCTTATGAGTTGGTTAGCTCTCTCTTTTTATCCATTATTCAAGTATGTTGTTGCTAATTGTGTGCGTAACTATTACATTTACATGTTGCATTTTAACCATGTAAATGAATTGAAAAATATTCAAACATTTTTGTTTCTCGCTATTGAATATCGTACTTATTACCTAATCAGGAACCAAAGCATTCATTTCCTGGTGTCCTCTTATTTTTTTATTTCTAAACAAAAGAAACTCTATTCTTATTTCAGGGAAAGTTAGTTAAGAACACAGATTTCTTGGGGAAATGGCTCCTAATATATTTTGGATTCACTCACTGCCCTGATGTTTGTCCTGATGAATTGGAGAAGTTAGCTGAAGTTGTCAACATGCATGGCAAGTATTAGCAACTAACCTAACCAATCTTTTAAGGAATACTCTTTCATGTCTGTAATAGCATTATTCAATATTATTTTCCTTGACAGCCTATCTATAAAATATCAGTATAGATCTATACTGATTTGGAACCACTGCTCAGATTTTCATAGATAGCTACAATATTCCTGAGTGCTATGGGCTATAAAACATCATGTTATGATCAAATGAAGCAGAGGGTGAAACCATGCAAAAGTAGCTATTAGATGATAAAACAACATGAAAGTAAAATTATATTTCTAGTAACTCCAAAAATAGACTAACTTTTTTTAATTAACAGATAGTGACCCCAAGCTCCCTCCTGTGCAGCCTCTTTTTATATCTGTGGACCCCCAGAGAGATACGCCAGAAGTTGTTGGCAAGTAAGTTGTCACAAATAAATTTACTCAAAGAATATCTTGTTGCTACAAAAATTGTATTATATAGATTATATTTTTTTTATAATATTTGCATCCTAATTGACAGAAAAACCAAAGTAGCCTTTACTTTGGTTTTTCTGTCAGTTAGAACTCTTTCCCCTAAAGGTAGACACAATTGCTGATACCCCAGACAGCAAACCCCTTATATAGGAGGCAACCAGACTTAACCCAAGGCCTTTTGTATGGTAAATCAATCCAATGAAGCAGTCATAATATTCAGCATATAAAATATTATCATTGTTTCATAAATAAATCACTCTACAGGTTTAAGCAGCTAAATTTCCAGCAGCTACCAACTTCTTTCAATTCTCATACCTTAATAATCTATTGCAGGTACTGCAAAGAGTTCTCCCCCCGTTTCTTGGGTCTGACAGGCACAAAGGAGCAAGTACAGCAGGCTTGCAAGTCATACAGAGTATACTTCAGTGCAGGCCCCCAGGATGTTGACAATGACTACATTGTAAGTAGGATAAAGTGCACAATGTTTAGTATATCTATCACTCATTTACAGCAAAAATTATTACTGATCTCAATACAAAATATTTGCATTGATGTGTTTGACAGACATAATAGCTCTTAAATTTTTAATCATGATTATTCAAGATGCAATAGAAGAATAAAATGTGTGCAAACAAGGGCATTCACATACAACAGTAAGAAAAAATTTAAGATATGTTATTACTTTTAGCCATAAATAAATAAAAAAGAATAATTATGAAGTTTGTTGCAATTGGGTACTTTCCTAGGTCAAAAATAATTTAATTCGACTTTTCAATACCAATAAAATATTGAAAAATAACTTTGTTGGAAACTACCATATTGAATTCCATGTCAGACAATGATGTCTGTAACTGACAGAGTACAGAGTACTTACCGTACCTTTGAACAGTATTTGTGGTTAGCCAGACTTAAACACTCGACTGACTAATCCTCTTATTTACAGGTGGACCACACTATTATTATTTACCTGGTAAATCCTGATGGTGAGTTTGTTGACTACTATGGTCAAAACAGGAATGCTAAAGAGATCCACAGCTCAATGCTTGTGAACATCAAGAAATATGAAGATTCTAAGAAGAAATCTTGGTTTTAGACACTAAGAACGCATTTACGTAGTGAGATAAAATAATAGTTCAAAGTATTTTTATTTAAGTAAAATAAAATTTATTGTTGCTTATAAAATTTTGTTTTATTTTGAATTTTCTAATACAATTTATGACGATATAAAACTTTAGTCTAGGGTAGGCAGAAAATAAATAAAATAATTTTATCAAATAGGTCAATGAATTGCAGGACTAAAGTCTTTAGACCAACATTGCAGGTTTGGTCTCTGGGTTACCATGTTACAATTGAATACACACTGAGAATAAATATAGGTAATAAGTTAATGACGAATTTGGCAGTAAAAGTGCGAAAGTAGAGTAAATTCACTAGAAATGTGGCATGCATTTCTAGTGAATTTACTTCTAAACACAGGCAGTGTATTTTAACTGGAAAGGAAAGAAAAAAATAGAGAAGGACATGCTGACATTGTTTGAACATTTTGGAAATGGAAAAGGTAGTACCAGGGATTTTAATGGTAACCTTTAGGTTATTATGGAATTCTTTGTAAAACGCCAGACACGTAGTACTTACAACAAGCGAAAAATCAAGTAAAATTTTATTCAGACTAAAGTTACTATTTAGTATAAAAAGAAATCCACCAGGGTCATACCAGAGGGGGCTCTGTAAATTCTGCCTGCCCTGAGACAAATTATAATTGGAATAAAATGAAGAAATAATTCACATACTTAATAGTACTTTACAATAAATTAGTTGTCATTTTGCTACTTATTTCGCTAATAGTGATTTGCGCGCTGGCGCTATTTATTTGCATTAATCTTTGGTCTAATTGGTATAGTTTCACAGTGGCTCCCTCTAAGCTGGTGGTAGAAATTCTCAATCCACCTTCGTTTACCGTCACTAAGTCCACATCAGTACTGTAAGGTCTGTCATCGATGATATTTATATTACTAGGGTCGAGGCACACATTTTCCGTTTCAATCATTTTGCTGTTGTCTTCGAGAACTAATTCTCCTGCTAATTCTAGTGGTCCTTTCTGTATGATGTTTACAGTCAATCCCCCTAGTTCACCTTGAGATTTATCTGCCTCAGCCTCTTCATTAACTGTTGCTAGTTTAGCATTGTTCTCGTTGAAAACAACCCCATCAGTAATCACGGGAACAGGCTCAACCTGTTGTAATATAACAAGCCCACGATTCTCTGCTCTTTTCTTTTTAGTTTGGTGGGTTTTAAAATGTTTCATTTGTTGAGATTTTGTTGCGAATTTTTGTGAGCACATGGAGCAGTCGAATGGTTTTTCTCCTGAAAGACAAACACAAAATGCCCAAGTTAAATGATGGTCATGACCACGCCTGATGGGGGTTTAAATGATACTGACCAGTGTGCACACGGTGATGGTCCCTGAGCCTAGCAGAGTTGATGAACTTTTTGGAACAGAAGCTGCACTGGTGTGGCCTCTCACCCGTGTGTTTCCGCATATGAGCGCTGAGGTTCTTACGCGTGAACCTGTAACACCAACATTCTGAAGTAGCTTGACATAATTTTCCCTGCTGCTAGTTAATTCTCCAACTCTATGTAGCTAGACGTCAATATTGTGTAAAAATATATGAAAATCTCTTTCAGATTTCTTTGGATACGCTGCGATGCAGTCAACAAAGCAAGTCATGAAAATCTGACCAACTGTGTCCAAATTATAATAACGAACTCCAATCCCTCTACCTCCCTCCATCCCATCGCAATCCTTAAATATGTAGAAACCTTATCCCTTAAAGGCCGGCAACGTAACTCTTTTGGTGTTGCGGGTGTCCTTGGACGGCGCTGATTGCTTACCATCAGGAAATCCATCTGCTCGTTTGCCGACCTATACCATAAAAAAACTAAGTAGTCTAGATAATGGTGTGGTCTTTCTTACCGTTTGCCACAAATATTACAGCTGTATGGTTTCTCCCCAGTGTGTATCCGTTCATGGCTTTTCAGTGAAGAGCCCGATGTGAATTTGCGATCGCATATCGAACACGAGTATGGCCGCTCGCCTGAATCAGAAATGAATGATAGACAGCTTATTAAGATAACTTCTCTTTTAAAGAATTGGGGACCTAGTTTCCTAGGTCAAAATAAATTAATTCGACGTTTCACTACAAATATGTATTGAAAAATAACTATACTTTCATTCTTCGACATGTCGATATAAAAATGTTATAGAAAAGCATCACATCGCTAGACGGCGCTATTCAGGATCTTCGCAGTGATGAAACAGTATAAAAAGCTTTATCAAAAACCATATTCTATACTGTATATTATTAAGTTCAGTTTTGCTTACCAGTATGTGTCCTCATATGCAGCGTCAAGTTGGAGTTTTGTATGAAACTCTTTCCACAAACGGAGCACACGTACGGTTTCTCGCCTGTGTGTGTGCGGTGGTGAGTGTTGCGTGTCGACTCGTGTCGGAAACTGATGAGAAAGTATTGAAAGAATAGCATTGTACCCAAAGAGATTTAAGTAGCGTGGAATATATATATAGGTATATGTTACCTACTAGCTTTCGGCACAATATACACACATAATAAACAAAGTAGCATATGTTCTACTCCGGAGTATATCCTACGTATGTCTGTACCAATTTTCATCCAGATCTTAGCGACTTACGATGGAGCTGGGGCACGCTTACTCATAAGCAACCTGTTCACTCGGCCTTAAAGACACCGTGGTCATAAAGTCAAACCCAAATCACATATTTTAAATAGACCACTATAAGCACTTTTGAACGTCAAACAACAAATTAATCACATATTTTAAATAGACCACTATAAGCACTTTTGAACGTCAAACAACAAATGATTACCAAAAAGTTCAACTTTGTGTGTCAGTCTGTCGGTCTGCCCTCTAGTGAAGCGTTTGAAATTGTAGATTCTAATGGAGAAAAACAAACGAGAAACTCCATGGTTACTCTAATTCAATCAATTTCAATTCATTTTTGTTATCATTTAGTCAGTTCAACTGTAAAATCAACATCTTTCATATCCAAACAATTTGTACTAATACTTTAAAAACGAATTAGAACCTTATGTAAAAAAAAAAAATTTTTTGTTTCCATGATTTGTTATGCTTATTACGCTTGGGTAGCAGTCTGTGCATAATGTTATACTGTATAAAACTATGAATCATGTCGATTGTTACTGATGTAATTGCCTTGTAAAATAAAAAAGGCGTTTTGGTTTATTGCTACACCTTATCCGTAGTGAAGCACGTACCAGGCCACAAGTTTATTATAGATATAGTTACCGTTTATCGCAATACTGGCAGGCATAGGGCTTGCGGTCGGAGTGAATGAGGCGATGCGATGCTAGGAGACGGTTCGACGGGAACATTTTACCGCAGACATCGCAGTCCCAGGGGCGCAGCCCTATGTGGCGCGACATATGGGCTGCTAGAAGTCCACTCTCACTGTACCTAGAAAGAAAATATTTCAGTTTAATAAAATAAAGAAAAAAGTAAGACCATGGATGGACCTCGAAAATGCTTGTCCCCTACTCTTTCAACCACATCTCCCGAGTTTGTTTGTGGTAGATCAATTCATTGTAGACAAGTAGGTTCCTATGTTTAGGACCCAAAGGACCCATCACACTTGTTTTGAAGATATTTCGGTTAGTCGCTGCTATAGATTTTGGCTTATAACACTTATGCCCGTTTTCCGAAAGCCCGATCAATGTTAAAATCAACTAACTAGGTGTCAAATCTCTTGTCAAGTAATCTGATTGATTGTTGATAATTCAGTCATCAATAAATGACTTCTCCTGTCCAGGTTGAGGCAAGATTTAGGGTCAGACTCTTACATACTAAAAAACAATCCCGTTCCTTCTCCTACTTTAGGCCGATGCGATGCCTCCTTGCGCTTTCCCCGCAACCCCGGCTGAAATATAACAGACTAGCTACTCTCGCGCGGTTTCACCCGCTGGTCAGCTCCATTTGATCGTAGTGTGATGATTTTTAGCCTAGTACTCAGGAACATTGTCGCTATCTATTAGTGAAAGAATTTTGGCAATTCGACCAGCGGTGCCAAAGATTACCCCTTACATACAAACTTACAAATTTTACCTCTTTATAATATTAGTATACCTAGATGTAACATACCTTTTATCGCACATAGTACAGGCGTGTTTCTTCTCAATCAGCTCGCCAGTGTGCACCCTCGCGTGTCTCTTGAGCGCATACAGTTCAGAGAACGATTTGTCACATACAGCGCACGTATACCGCTTCGACTCCATATGTCTTAATATGTGACGTCTAAACACTGATCGAGCTGAAATCATAACAAACAATTTTCATCATACAATATTTCTATTCTTTTAGATGGGACAACATCAATTGCAAATGTAAAAAAACGTTTTCTTCAGTAATAAGTACGAGAAAACATCATCATATACTTACATACATCTAAAACACAATTTCGAATCTATAGAAATACAATATTTTTTTATGTCATATTTCGGCAAGCGAGCATACCGAATTACCGATTACCTGATGGTACCTATGCAATCAGCGCTACCCATGGACGCTCGCAGTACTAAAGGAGTATAATACAAGTGCGTTGCCGGCCGCTTGTGGGTTATTAGGGGTTTAAGGATACGGGATTTGAGGATTAAGGATGGGGGGAGGGGGCAAGAATTGGGCATCTGGTCACTCACACGGCCAAACACACTGTAGTTGTTTAACGTCGGTTTCACTCCGGTCGATCCGACCCATTCGTGCCGAAGCATGGCTCTCTCACACTTTAAATTAAGTCAAAGTAAACAACATAATATCAAGATAAGATAAAAAAAACATTTTAAATGGCTGACCAGTAAATTCTTTGGGGCACTTGTTGCATTTCCAACTGCTTCCCTTGTTGTGTAAGGAGGTATGTACCGCGAGATCATGCTCCGAGTTGAATGACTCCGTGCATTGGGTGCAAGCGTGCGGTCGCCGAGTCGTTGGATGCTTCATCCTCATATGCGCATGGAAAGTCTTTACATTTTTAAACACCTGAAATCGGAATTTACAACTAATTTGATTATTTTTTCAGGAATATTATCTAGTCATAGAGAATTGGTTAAATATGTAGCTATTAGGAATGCTGGCAATAACTTTACCTTAGAACAGATCTTACATGAAAATGTGTTTTCCTTATTTCCATGTTTTCTGTGCTTTTTATTTGAACATTTTGCGGGATTCTCAAATTCTGTAATATGAATGAATGAATCAGCTAATTTTAAATCGTCGTGAAGTGGATGTGTGTGCAGTTATAAAAAAAAAGTAAACTTACCGTCATCATCTTTATCATAAATTACTTTTTTCCTGTAATAAATACATCGTTTTATTTAAATTTTGAATATGGGAAATTATGTAATGATAAGCTTGCTTGCTGCATACCTAGACAAGGTCTAAAATATATAAAATAAAGTCATTGAATATGTGTAACCAGCTCCTTCAGCGCAGCATGTTTTATTCGTTTCTCAAATACAGACTACAGAACATGATATTTTATAATTAATGTATAATAGCCTCCTCCAATAAATTTCCTATCCGACACTATGAACCAGTATTTCTGGAGATTAGCGCATGCAAGAAAACAAACAAACTCTATAGCCTTATAATTTTAATCCAGAAATGTTTTTGCCGTGAAATAAACATTGACATCACCTTTTCTTTCTCTTCTTCTCTTGTACTATATACAGGTTATCATTATCACTGAGATCTTCTAAATATTGCACATCTGAAATAAATAATTTATCATTGACATTCATATGTCACCATAAAAACGATATAATTAGGTCTTGGAAAACTTGGTAAATAATTGGCCACTTTTGAAATATAATATTTCACACACAATTATGGTGTAATATATTATTAATGTTTACTGAAAATAACACTTATCATGTGCAAGCTCGAGTAGCCAGGGGACTGCGAGACAAGAAACGTGTTGGAGAGCCATGCTTCGGCACAAATGGGTTGTCTCGACCTTGCCTTGGCCTTGCAAAAGACCAGCGTTAAACAACATCAGCATCAACAGTTTCACCGTGTGTGTAAGGTGACCAGAGACCAAATATTTAGATCTCCGCCCCAATCCCTCCCCAATTCCAAAATCTCCATATCCCTTATTCCCAACGGTTGGCAATGCACTCATAACTCCTCCATTTTGTAGTTGCGGGTGTCCATGAGCGACGCTTATTGCTTACCATCAGGTAATCCATTTGCTTGTTTGCTGCTATCACAGTAAAAAAAGAAAAAAAAGGAGTTCAGTTGTAACTTGAAACTAATAGAACTCTTTGTAGTTATTTCACATAAGTCGTTATTTTCAATAAATTTAAAGTCTCATTATACTCGTAGTTACTAATAAAAAATATGGCCTCTATAAAATTTTCTATTCAATAATTCGGAAAGAAAAAGAGTTCTAATAACAAGAAAATTCATTCATTACCTTCAAGAAGTTCCTTTTCATTCTTGATATCAATGTTACTATTTAAATATTCATTACTTTGAATATTATTGTTTATGTTATTCATATTATTATGTTCTAATTGTTCCTCCTTTATTTCCCTAAAAAACAAAATATCATGGTTACTATGTACTTAACAACAGAATAGCTTTACTTCACTGATATTTTTAACAATGTATTTTCTATTGTGTCTCATATACCGGCAGACCAAAGGTTAAAAATGATTTGACTCTCACTTTGACATTGCCTTTGCCATGATAACATGTTTTTTTGACATGAAAGGTAAGAGAAGCAATTGTTTTAAATTTAGCACCAACAAGTTTTCTTCAATTAAGTTAAAAGTCTCATGCAATTTACTGCTAAAATTTAATGTTAAATAATAAATGGTAATGAGAAAGGATTAGAAATACATACGTATCATGAATGGGTATATCATCTTTGATAATAAATTCTCCTTTTAGCAGTGATTTGAGCATGCAATCTGATTTCTCACACCTTATTTTGAACTCATAGCATTGTACCACTAGAGTTTGACATGGCTCACATATACTTGACGGCAAACCATCACCTGCTAAAACCTGAATACAAATAATTCATACATTTATTATATTATGTATATTGTGTGTTTAAATATAAAATATTTATTTAATAGAAAGATTAAATGTTTTAAAGCTGTAGAAATTGTACACCTAATATAGGCAGAATACAGTCTGAACTGTACACCACTATAATATCTGGTACCACCTGTTTTCTATGTGAATAAATGTTTCTTAAACTTAAGTCATTAAGAATCATTGATACCGGCTAAGACTTACCTGAATCGCGCTAAATGTAGCATACATTTGAGCTAATACATTGTTTTCTTTGGCATTAACAGTAGAAACTAAAGGGTATAGGATCTCGTTCTCGGTGTTCAAGCAAATTCGACACATATTCTGTATATTACAATTGTCTGAACTAAGATACTGATATAAATTAAATGGAATTTCAATTTCAATGTAATTTTCTCCGACAATTTTCTCTTCATCATTTTTTACAATTTCTTCGATGGTATTTTCGGGATCCATTTTTCAGTTGGTTACCTGGATCAATGATTTGTTTTAGCACTTGTAAACGATCTAAGAAATTCTACACTTGGTTTTTTAATTCAATGTAATCATGATGTTTTGTTTTATTTTTCCCACATGAACATCTATTTTGCTCGTTTATTTTTCTTTTTTTTTTGGGCTTGCTTTTTTTTCCTTTATGGCAACTGAGCCTCCTGTGTTGTCGACTATTCTGCCAGTGTCGAGTTGTGACGGCAGGCAGATTTAAGACCCGTCGATCATTCACTTTGCGATAGTTTATTGTTAGTAGCTAGAAAGACACACAAGACACTTGGGTTAGTAAACATTTAACGTATATATATGTATATACAATTAATTAATTTATAAGCATTTTAATTAAACATAGACAATCACAGGGAAAGGGTATACAGTAGACAAGGAGATAAGTATATACATTATAATTTAAATCACACACCATTATATTTTGATATTATTTTGGGAGACAAATTGGGACAGGTATTTTATCAACTTATTTGAAAAAAAGGTTAGTAGGGAGAGGGATTTGGAGGCTGGGAGTTTTTTATACGGGTCGAATCAAGGGAGTTTAGGGAACAGGAAAAGAATAGGTCCCCTCATCAAGACCGCATTCGCACAGTGGACTGTCACGAATACGGATCTTGTTGAGGAATACTGGACTACAGCAGTGTCCGAGTCTAAGTCTGCATAAGGACGCAATAGTGTGTCGGAAAAACCTAGGGTATCTGCAAAACCAAGGCTTCCGCCGGATGCCTTGGTTTTATAATATATTATATTATTTGGTGTTTATGTGTTATGTATTTATATAATATTGCTGTTTAATAGTTTATTAATTCTTATTGTTTTCCTTTTTCCTAATTGTGTTTACACAGTCAGTCTACACAACTTTTTATTCTAACTCTCCCATAACGGGCCTGCTGGAAGAGATTTCTGAAGAAATAAGCTGTGCCTTTGTATCTAATTGTTGTATTATTTTTCTTGTCCAACTTACTGTGTACAAAATTATTAAATAAATAAATGCCGGACTGGATATTTGCGTAATAGGTACCCTTCCGCTTGGAGGACTCTGCCCACACTGCGTCCCACTCGCTGAACAACTTGTGTTTGGTGTCAGAACGTAAGTCATATCCATACACAATGTAGTGATGTCGCTCGACATCGTTTGTAGCTGCAAACTTTGCCAATGTTACCGCATATACCAGCGTGGCCACTTGGCCAGGAACCCAGGCGATCTCAACGCGATTTTATTTCTATAACTAAACTATTATTTGTTAGAGAATGGAGTTGGTCTTGGCTCAGAGACTGTAAGCTGCTTCGAGAATCTGAGAAAATTACAGAATTATTAATTAATAATTAATTATTAGCTTTAATAAATTGTATCGCTTCTAAGATGCCAACACATTCCCCAGTGAACACAGAGGCCTGGGGAGGACATTTAGAGAGCAGCGCGATTCTTAAAATTTTGTTAATACGCCGCCACTCCCGTGCATCCGTTTCGGGACAATTTGGAAGCATCCGTAAAGAATACATTCCAGCCACTCCAATATTTGTCCAACGCATGTTTTAATTTCAACTTTGCGTTCACCGAGGACTTTGAGATGCCAAGATCCAAGACAAACTTTGGCCTGAAGTGAATCACCTCATATGCAGAAAAGAAGACGGGGAGTACAGGAAATTGACTGATAGGTGCAAGGAGGTTTTTAAGCTCCCTATACCGAACAATCACAGGAGTTTTTTTTTTTGTGAGGGGAACATCATCAAATGACTTCTCCCGCCCAGGGCCGGGCAGGAGGGAGTGTCAGACTCTTACTGACTAAAAACCCCCCTGTTCCTTCTCCTGCTCTGTGCCGAGGTCGCGGTACCTCATTCCTCACAGGAGGGGTGGGTTTATGATTCCAGTATGAAGAGGAACTGTAGGAACTGTTAATTTGTTCTAAAATAGGGAGTAGGGGATGAGCAGAAAAGGAAAGGACTTTTGAGACGAAACGATCTGCCAGGTATTGTCTACGTAGGTCGAGGGGGGGTTCCGCACACTCGACCTGAAGAGCGTTTATGGGGGAGGCCTTCATAGCTCCAATAATTGTTCTAAGGCATTTGGCTTGAATGGTATCTAGTTTTTTCAGTGCTTCCTTGTTGCAGGGAGCATTAAGGTAGCAGCAATAGTCCATTACACTTCTGACCAATGCATTATATATTAGCTTCAATGTGTACGGGTGAGCACCTCACCACACCAGGCAGTCAGAGCTCTAAGTATAGAAACCGAGCGTCCGCATTTTCCAACTACAGCGTTCACGTGATCCATGCCAGACATTCTCGAGTCGAGGATAACTCCAAAAATCTAGCGCAACTCTTGATTGGAATAGCTTGATCATCAATTTCTATACGAATATCCGGAGTGTGACGCCTGCATGTAAAAATGACAGCTGCGCTTTTTGGGGCGCTTAAAGACAACCCATGATCCAGTAGCCATTGGTTTAATGAGGCCAAAGAGACATTCATGGAGAGGGCGTCGTCCGTTATAAAACTGCCGGTGATCATTAGGACGATATCGTCAGCGTATTGGAGGGCATTACAATCATAATTTAGACAGGAGGGGAGATCATGGGTAAACCTCTCCAGGCGATTCTCCGGACAGGTTCATCCTCAGGAGTTCTTAATTGGAGGGGTGGTTGGAGAGGATGCAGCTTATAATTCGGCAAATCCTACTTGGGATTCTCAGCTCTTGCAGTTTTTGCCTGAGAAGGGGTAAGAGAACAGAAACATAAGCTGAAGAAATGTCTAGGAAGACCGCGACTAACGACTCCCCCGACTCCCAACGAATTGAGCCGCCGGAAGCAGCTTCCTGCTTTCTACCAACCATTCAAGGCGGTTTTTAACAAGGTGCTTAAGGATGTTAATAAGGATAGATGATAGGGCAATAGGTCTGTAGGATAAATGATCACCGGAGTCTTTGCCAGGTTTTAACAGAGGCATAACAAACTGAACCTTCCAAGCGGGAGGAATATAACCGGAAGAAAAACAAAAATTTGCCAAGTCAAGGTAGTCTAGTTTTAATTCCTGCTTTACTTAAGAAAAAACGAATCCATCGACCCCAGGTGCTGAGTCCTTCATGTGGCTAAGAACCGATTGGAGTTGCTCAATTGAGAACTCCATATCAAGTGGGTCCTTTGTTTTTTATAGGGACTCGGGCAGCATTCTTCTTTTTCAGGAACATAATTATGATGGAGCAATGTTGTTAAAGAATTTATTTTTTAAAGCTCAGATAAGGTAGTAATTGTGGGAGGCTTAGTGGAGTTCCTGAAGTTCTTCACTCTCTGCCACACCATGAATCTTGGTGTGGATGGGCACAGTGAGCTACTTCTGTAGCTCACCTTTTCCACCCCTCTCTCTTCTTCCTTTTGAACAATTTCCTTGACTTAGCCAATATCTGTTTGAAGTTAACTCCTTAACTTCAAACAGATATTCTACAGATTCTCCAGGTTCATTTCATGGTTGTATATCTTTTCAGCTTCATTCCTGGCCCTGATCATAGCAGTGCACTCACTATCCCACCATGGAGGGGAAGGGATTTTTCTTTTTGGTGGGTTCTTCACTGGGAAGCAGTCTTCTGCTGTGGAGGTTATCAAATCTGAAAACTTTTGGAAACACTCCAAAGCATTCTCAGCACTAACCGGTGGAAGAAAAGAAATGCGGTGGTCCACTAACCTTGAGTAAAGGTTCCTTTTCGCGGAGTCCAAGCGATATTTTAAAAGGGGAGGGAGCGGTTTTTCAGGAATGGATTTTGCTGGGTTTTTGATTATGATGGGATAGTGATCACTACCATAGGTCATATCCAAACAACTTCAATTCAGTAAGCTAGCCATCCCAGACGAACGGAAGGTCAAGTCCACACAACTGCTTCTTTGACCAAATGTAGACCTGCGGGTAGGGCTACCATCATTAATGACACACAAGTTGAGTTCATCCAGCATTTCCCCTAATTCAGTGCCTATGTTGTCACATGCTTCTGAACCCCATCTATAGTAATTTTAATGTAATTAATTTAGGTACAGAGTTAATTCGGTATCTAAATAAGTTTAGATTCTGCAGGTGCTTCCTTAAATACTTCTGTTAAAATATACTTACAGTAAATACTCTCTAATTTGCTGGGCATTCAATGGTGATCTTCTTGGAAAACTTATAGTTTGCATGGTATTATATTTATTATCAGGTCGCCGCCAGGACCCAGGTGTCACCAGAGTGCCACGATTATCATATACCTACGACAAAAGAGCCAGGCGGGCGTAGGTACCAATACCTACGTGAAGAAGTTTTACTTTTTCGTAGAGAGTTGTGTGGTAATACACAGGTCATTGTAATAATTTTCGATACAGTTTCCAAATTTAAATTAATAGTCCGTCGGAATATTCGAAATATTGAAGTTAAAATTACAAATGTGATTCCAACTACAACCCGGGATCTGGGTAGTATGGGAGAGCCATGCTTCGGCACGAATGGGTCGGCTCGACCGGAGTGATACCACGGCCTCGCAGAAAACCGGCGTGAAATAACCACTGCGTTGTGTTTCGCCGTGTGAGTGAGGTTACCGGAGGCCCAATCCTTCTCCTTTCCCAATCCCTCCTCAATCCCTAAATCTCCAAATCCCTAATCCCTAAAAGGTCGGCAACGCATTCGTAACTCCTCCGTTACGAGTGTCCATGGGCGGCGCTGATTGCTTACCATCAGGTAATGCGTCTGCTCGTTTGCCGAGCTATTACATAAAAAAAAGTATTTTGTTGAATTTCCTTCCTAGATAGGACTTAATGATCCTCCTCCTAATCTATTGAGAGAAAACCCCTATCGGCTAAGAAAATGTAGGGTACATTAACGTCCGACCCTGTCAATGGACATGGTGAAGGAAAATTCATTTCTTTTCTGTTGATACTTTGCCATAATACTGAACTGTTAAAAATAACTCCGCCCCTTGACTTCCTATTACTACAAAGTATAAATAGATTTTGGCTGTCCACTAATTTCAAGAGAACAAAGCTAAACGTTTTCTGTAATTAAAATATTCAATTCCACTATGAGACGGGCTTTCTATAACTATACGTTGAATATAAGGCTGTTGAGGACATCTCAAATCATAAAAAAGTAAATAAATAAGAAACTAAAAAATGTCACATGATGTTATTTCTTTCATACTCAAACGCCTGTTAAAGCCCGCTTTGTGATTTTGGAATGATGGTTGACAGGTGGTTCACTGTAGTATTCTAACTAAAAATTAGGTTTCAAAACCAGATACGATATACGACCTGCTCCAGACCATCCTGAACAGCAAATGGCTGCTGCATTTGGACAGCTTACAAATATCGAAGATCTGAACGTCCACCTCCACGCGAGGAAGATGAATGCGACCTATATGGCAAGCTTCTAGCGAAAAAGCTTCGAGAACTACTGTTTGTTTATTTGTTGAAGTAATGTTACATTATTCAGATGAATCGCGATTAACAACTGAAACCTGTTGCTAATAAAAGTAGAAATACGAAATAATGTTGCGTTCCTCAATGTAGTACTTACTTACGGAGATACGGGAATAAGTTTTCATTTATTCCCAAAAGATAAAATTATGAAGAAAAAATGGAAGACTTCTTTAAGAATAGGTAAGCCCATTTCACGATCAATGAGAGTTTGTTCTCATCATTTTCAAGCTTTAAAAGTTTTTCCAAACAGAAAGTGTAATTATGTTTTAATTATTGTATTTTACATCAATTATATTTAGATAAATGTATTTCATAAGTTATTTTATTTTACACTAAGGCGAGTTTCTCGTCAGATAACGAGGTTATGGGTATTGTTCCAGATTCTAAAAGGCACAAGTTGTTTCCTTATGTCGTACCGTCTCAGAATATTCCTCAAATAAGCTCCGGTAAAGAAGTACCATTACAAAAGAGCACTCTTAAATTTTCTTCCTATTTTGAAATAGGATAGATCAGCTTTAAAGCAATTAGCCCTCTCAAATTTACTCAGTAGTGTAAATGTGTGTATTTATTTTAAGTGTGGGAGAGCCATGCTTCGGCACGAATGGGTCGGCTCGACCGGAGTGATACCACGACCTCACAGAAAACCGGCGTGAAATAACAACAGCGTTGTGTTTCGCCATGTGAGTGAGGTTACCGGAGGCCCAATCTTTCCCCACCCCCAATCCCTCTTCAATCCCTAATCCCTAAAAGGTCGGCAACGCACTCGTAACTCCTCATATAACATAAAAAAATCTAATTTTACGGGTGTTCTAGAACTTTTAGAAACATCGACTATATTGACAGCATAATTATTTTCATATGTTCATTTTTATAAACTTTTGAAGCGATTCAAAGTCAAAGTCAAAATAATTTATTTCAATTAGACCCATACAGGCACTTTTGAACGTCAAAACAACTTTAAAGATACAAAGTGTCAGTCTGTCGGTCAGTCCTCTTAGTGAAGCTATTCGCTCGTTCCAAAGTGTAGATTCCGATGGAGAAGAACGAGCAAGAAACTCCATGGTTACTCTTTTAAAATCAGTGTCACATAAACATTCTTTGATACATTATTTAGTTAGTTTGAATATGTATGTATATATAATAGTATATATGTATGTATGTATAATATGATTAATTCCGAAAGTATACAAATATAAAAAAAAATCATCTTTGTAAATCCCTTTAAGTATATTTTTAAATAGCTATCCAATAACATATCATACGATAGGGTTAAAATGAAAAAAAAAACATTCCCTACTTTACGTGTAAGGAGGGGGGTACCTTATAAAATCTTTTTACCACCTTGTCGGCGTGATTGATATACATATTGGTGACAAATTTCAGCTTTCTAGCGCAAACTGCTTACCATCAGGTGGGATCGCAGTCAAATCGAAGTAAAAAAAAACGGTCACTGAGATTATCCGCGGACGGGCAGACAGACAGACATGGCGAAACTATAAGGGTTCCTAGTTTACTACGGAACTCTAAAAATTGCCAAATGCCTAATACGATAGGTGCGTTAATATGCCTTAAATAGAACATCTGAATTAGAAAACAGACAGGCCAATGGAAGAATTTAAGTAATAATGCATTTCTTATCGAGTCTGCTCTATTTCAATAGGTCCGTCCTGAATAAACACATACCCAATTGTTTTGTAACAGAACGTGCTCTTGTTTTAGTTTTATTATTAATGAGCCAATCTAGATTGACAACTGACCGACTATTGTTGGAGTTTAATCTACACTCGATTCCCTGTAAACTTCCACCGCGACGAAGAAATTCCACAATTAAAATAAACGGGCACTTGAATGTGACATTTAACAGTGCGGCACTTATTCCTAAAACGAAAAGATGGCAAGATAAAGGCATGGAATATTTTTAAGAGTCCCGTTCTATCTTGTATTCGTTCGACCTTGAGAGTCGCCAATATTTTTAGTTAAATTGTGCTCTCACAGTAGCTCAGCGCGCGATGGAACGGGCTATGCCTATATCAACAAAATCCGAAATGTGGAAATTCGCCAAAGAACCAAATTACCAATAGCTCGTAAAATCTGCAAGCTAAAGTGACAATGGGCAGGCCACGTCGCTCGAACGACGGACCGCCGATGTACCAGAAAAGTACTAGAGTGGCGACCAAGGACCGGAAAATGTAGCGTGGTTAGGTCTTCTGCTAGGTGGACCGACGACACTGTGAGAGTCGCGGGGAGCCAATGGTTGTAGGTGGCAACTTGTCGTTTGACGTGAAGGACTAAGGGGGTGGTGTTTGTCCAGTAGTCAGCAGGCTTGCTTCCAGCTGATGACGAAATTGTTTTTTATAATTGCCTTCTTAGTAACTCCTTAGTAACCTAACTATATCAGTGTTGGGTGTGACTCGACATGACCAATGTAATTTGTTGTTATATATTATTAGGTACATACTACTTATAACATATTTTGTCGTTATATGGGCGTGTTCAGTCATAGTTGCCTACATGAACAAATTATCACTAGCGGGCGTTGGTATCTGAAATGTTTATATTTTGTTTATCGAGTTTTTTCAGTAAATGGGCACGCGTCTAATGAATGAATGATATTTATTAGGCAACTTGAGAGGAAACATAACGTACGTAAAATATAAAAAAATATTACTTTTTACCACAACCCTCAGATATTATCTAATAATAATAATATGCTTTTATTTGGAAAGGAAATAAGGAGGTAGGCACTACGTTGTGGGCATGATTATTTGTAGATAGGTAGGTACTAGGTATGTAGGTACCTTATGCAAAATAGACAGGCCAAATAATTGCATCGTCATAAACTGTAATTATCTAAATCGATTATTTGAATGAAGGTTATAATTTTAAATAGAGCATTAACCTAATATAAAAATCATAATAGGGTGAATATGCATGACCGTAAACCTCGTTAATTTGCTTTAGTATACCTACCGTACATTGCAAATTTTAACCTGACTTGTTTCCATAACATAATGCATTCATTAAAACTGACTCTACCTTTCGTACCTATAGATTTTGTTGATTAGGGTTATGTTGAATAATCGACTAATTAACGTGAATTAATAAAGAAACGCTCTACTAGTTTCAAGTTACTACAGGGCTCTTACTCATGAATAGCGTGCGCGTTGCGGCGACGTTGCGCCTTTGAATTTGTTATGTTTCACATGGTTTCACGATGGTTACTATACAAAAGAGATATATTATTAATATATGAAATGTTATTGAAATTTCTCCTATGATATAGTATCTACAAGAGAACGTTGTTATTCATTGCGGTCAACAACATCTATTTGGGGGTGAAAGGTCTCCTCTATCCTAGAAGATAATTTCTTGATGTGTGCATGTTTACTATACCTATATATTCACTCCATGTGGCTACTTGTATTATATAGTTAGGTAATAGGTAATATTAAGTATTAGGTTATAATAAAAGTCCATCTACAATTAAAATACTCAATTATTACCTACATATTTAAGTACCATAAGCTGAAAAACAAACCGAATTGTACTATCGTGCTCCGAATATTTATTACTAGCTACTCTCGCGCGGTTTCACCCACTGCTCGGCTCTATTTGATTATAGAGTGATGTTTTATAGACTAAAGCACTCGGGTACATTGTAGCTATCAATAAGTGAAAGAATTTTGGAAATCGGACCAGTGGTTCCAAAGATAAAATTTTACCAGATATATAATAATATAATAACAAATTCTGCGAGGTGATAAGTTAAATATTAGAAAGGTCAGACGTTGTTCTGTAACTAAATCAAGGAACCTATAAATCATCACGATGCACTATCAGTCTCACAATGATTAGCGAGATCTAATCCAAGGGTTGTTATCTAAACCAGCTAAGCATGGAAACTATGACAAATCAACCATATTATGTGGGCGTAGTCACGGCTTGTTATTGATAAAGATAATAATTGCAGGTTTGGTAAACATAATCTTCATTGTTCATATTACAGAACAATATTAAAACAGTATTTTATGTAGATGGAAAAATTTGCAACATCAATTTATTGGCGTAGGTGTAATTATTTTGTTTCAAAGACGTATTTTGACCTCTGAGATAAGGGTGACCTGAAGGCGGCGATAATGCGTGTGGAAGTATCGCGAGCGGGCGGGCAGGCAGCGGGATCGCGATACAAGCGCCCGCGCATCTCATACTCAAGCTGCTCACCAAGGAGGCTGGACCACCCTGCGATTACTCGCTACTGCTCTAGTCTCTACCAATATGTTCATTGGCGTCACCTCAAGTGGAGACAACGTGAATTCTCATTACGACTACCTGATTTGAACGCCGGAGGTACGTACATCTAACTCTTTGCTAGCAGATATTGAACTTACTGAAGGTCACCCCAAAAGTTTATGTAAATAAGTGATTACCGATAGATACCAGTTTTAATCTTCTCCAGAATAGTTATTCAACGTACTGATCCAGACGGCAACTATCATTCATGTAATATTTAAATAATAAATTACTCTAAACGAATTATAAGTTTGTTTAACTTTCCTTAGGAGAATAAGATAAATATTAAGTTATATTTTATACAGTAAGGTGTATTGAATTTGTTCCAGGCACATCTAGTGAAAGAAATTTTGTACGCTTACAAATATGGCGCTAGATTTCGTAGCTGGATGTATAGGGGGTAAGATAAACACATATGTATATTTGACTCTATTTTTATTGTCGTTGACAACTTTTCTCGGTATACTAATGTGCGGCATTATTTCCAGGTTGTGCGGGAATCATTGCTGGTCATCCTTTGGATACATTGAAAGTGCATATTCAGTCGGGCAGAGGTAGCGCGCTGCAATGCACAAAAGCTCTTTTGAAAGGAGGAACATTGTCAAGTGCCTACCGTGGAGTAGGTGCTCCTTTAGGCGGCATAGCAGCCGTTAATGCTATAGTTTTTGGGGTATATGGAAATACACGACGAGCGCTGCCTAACCCTAACGCTCTGAGCACGCATGCGGCAGCAGGTGCAGCCGCGGGCCTAATGCAGAGCTTCGCTTGTGCTCCTGTCGAGTTAATTAAGACACGACAGCAGTTAGCAAAATCTGGAGATGCCATCCCGTCCGGAGCGTGGGCGGGAGCGCGCCATATCGTACGCACTGGAGGCTTCAGGGCGCTCTTTCGTGGACTCGGTGTGACAATAGTTCGTGATAGCCCTGCTTTGGCAATTTATTTCACCTCTTACGAGGCCATGACTCGAGGAGATCAATCTGTGATGAAAGTGTTTATGGCGGGAGGTGCGGCGGGAGCCCTGTCGTGGGTGGTATTATATCCTATTGATGTGGTGAAGTCGAGATTTCAAGGAGATATAGTGGGCAAATACGCGAGTGCATGGGACTGCTTCGTGCAGTCAGTTCGGACTGACGGCTGGAAGAGTATGGGCAGAGGTGTTGGGGCAGTAACACTGCGTGCGTTTATTAGCAACGGCGCGTGTTTCACCGCTGTTGTTTGGACTGAGCGCGTGTGGCAACGTATGGCTGCTGAGCAGGGTGTGAAAACTTTCGCTCAGGCCACTACCATGAGTGAGGCAGTTTGTGAGAACAACGACCGACAATACGATGTGTAATCAAGGTTTGAATTAAGTGGTTCGAATTAAGCTGTAAGCTTTCTTTATCTTAACTTTTATTCACAAAAGAACGAATTGTATATGACAAGGCGAAGATAAAATGATGTATTAATATTATTTGTTTGTTTTTTTTTCTTATATTGCGTACACGTAATATCCCGAGCTTTATAAGAGTTTACAGATAAGACGATGAAGACATTTTAACTGTTATCAATCTGTGTTCATGTGATTTGTGTGTGACAAAGATAACAACTACTACTTTTCATCATAAAGATATGACTGCTTGAAATAGGAATGTATATCGTTGTCAATAGCTAAAATAAAGTTAATACCAACGTTGAAAAATCAACGTGACTTAGATAATCCGTAGCACCTGGCTACGAATTTGCTACGCTTGCTACGAAAGCGTCATTCACTTGTTGTAAAACTGTCTTGAATGTATTTAATTTTTATAATTGTTTAAATGAAAGACCAAGTTTTCTTTCTTATTAAGTATCATATACTTGTCTGAAAAATTTAAACAATTTTCAAAAATATTCCAAAAATACAGGAATGATTCACATTATGAAAATATCACATTATAAATATGCCAAAACTGCTATAATAAATGTAAATATTTTTAAAAATAAAGGACCGTTACAGAATAATTTTACATAATATTAACTTCACTATACTTTTTCCTAAGACTTTTATTTCTTCATCTTATTGATTAGGTAGTTTACTATCGACGGGTAGGTTTTTTTACAGTGAGACCTGAAAACAAAAAAGGCATATGTAAAATATGTTAGTATTGAGGAGACCAAACACGCGCACCTCACTACAACACAAAATACAAACAACTTTGGTATTATTTCAGATTGACCACAAGATATAAAAAATATGTTGAGGCCAATAAGAAATAACGGCGTTATATTGAAAAAAGTTGGGCGACTCTACTTCGAGAAAGTCCTCTGACAAACCTATTTAAAATCCCATCAGTGGTTTAGATTAAAAAACGTTAATTTCGTAGGTATTTAGGTAGAAAAAAAAGATAGATATGATTTTTATCAGCTTAGTTATCGATGCCTTCTTAGTGTGGTCATTTCTAAAGATTGGTGGTGCCTCTTATTCGGTTGCTCAGTCGGCCTACCTAGTGTTTTACCGTCGTAATCTTCCCAAAATAGGGAACGCAATTTAATTCCTATAGCGAAGCAGGAATATAGGCCCGTGGGGGCGTCGATTCCTTACGATAAGATGAATTGTTTGCTCGTATGCCAGATAATCGCGTCGTGGTGGCCTGGAGGCTAAGGGGCGCCTTAGCCCCCTAGCTAGCTCCTCATGCATGAGGGTGCGGGTTCGAAACTTGGCTAGTACCAATGTAACTTTTTCCGAGTTATAAGTACTTTCTATAATTATCTAAATACCACTGACATACGGTGTAGGTAAACATCATGAGGAAACCTGGATTTATAATATTTAATTATAAGTTTGAAATCGCCAATCCGCCTTGAGCAAGTGTGGTGATTAATGCTCAAAACTTCTCCGCGTGAGAAGAAGCCTTTGCTCAGCAGTGGGCACTTATAGGCCGATGATGATGATGCCAGATAAGATGGACATGAAGTAAACACCTTGGAGTTGGTTAATCTTGCTCCATAGGCTGAGGGGGTAGAGGCGGCGGCGGCGGCGGCGGCGGTGGAGGCGGCGCCGGCGCGTCATTGTTGGCAGCCTGGTGCTCCATCAACCCAAGTTGCTCCAGCATGTCATCGTTGTCTTCCATCAGGTGAACCTGCACCAACCACGGCCGGTTACTCTGCAAACAATAATTTCAATATCCAAGACGGAATACCGTCCACTTTCATTTGTGGGGGGTTTTCATTATTCTAATTAATATAGAAGATTGTAATTTTTCATTTCTAAGTGTACAACAACCAATTAAACAATAATATGACCTATAACAATAACAATGCATTGGCAATTAAAATTCCCTTTGGTTATAGTTGGATCAATTAAAAATGACTATGCTAAAAACCGCTGTCAGACAATATAATGGTTTGCGGTTGCGGGTTGTAGGGGTAAGCGCTATAAGGTACCGCGGCCTCGTCCTGAAACAGGTGAAGGAACGGTGGTTTTTAGTCACTCGCCTCATCCTGAGAATTTGAAGATTTACCCTCCGTACAAAAAGTACGTATTAACTTTACAACGTAATAAATATAACAGTAGATCAACGTCAGCAACATTCAGCAAAACCGATAACAAAGAAAAAAACAATCGAGAGGTTCGTCTTATTTTTTGCAATACGAGTAATAATAATAAATAAACTAAGTATTATTATAAGGTGTTATTTAGTAGCAAATTGAATCATTCATAATTACAATGAACTGAGTTTGTATTCGGCCACGGTCGGGGCTAACGTGAAGTTTTAACATTTTAAAATGTCGCTATTTTTAGTGACCGTTGACCCCATGTTATCGTATATTTTAAGGTTCAGTGTGTTGACACCAACATCATAATCAAGTCGCTTAATTATCTCTGCTTTAGTCTATTTTCTTCGCACACAGTTTTATTTTTACGCATCAAGGAATATTCTGTAGAGTATTTTTTATAATATGATTTCTCAACAGAACATTTTTAAATACTGCTCAAAAACATTAGATTTTTTTTTGTAAAAGGAGACTATCAGCTCGCCAAGAGGTAGACTAGACTATAGCTCCCACCTATTTGAGAAAAAGGTTAAAAAGAAAAAAGCGATACTATTTTTTCTTAGCTTTTGTGTACAGAACCCAACATCAATTAATTAAATTCTGTTGCCATTGCCAATCATTGGGTTCTTCGACAGGTCTTCATCGATAAAGCTTTATATCTATTCTGTTTATCTATAAATAAACAATCCTATACTAATTGCTAAGTAATGTATTTATTACTATTATTTCTAACTAGCGGCCCACCCTTGCTTTGCACAGGTCGTTTAGGCAAAGCAAATTCAATTGTCTGTCCAACTATCTCGCTTACGGCGAAAGGATTGCGAAGTACAAACTTACCCCACTACTTTTCTGAAAGTTTATGTCATAAGAATGTCGTCCTTACAGTACAAACACAAACAAAAAACGAAAACTAATTGTCAAAATGGATCTAGGCGTTGTTGAGTTATACGCTTACGAATACGAACATAATTTGCAATTCATTTTTATAAAGGCAAAAAAGATAAATTTAAACCCACCATAAGACCATTTTTAGTTAAGTGTAAAATTTATCCAATTAAAATCCGAACAATATATGAATAAATAAAACACTACGCCAAAGGTAAGGAGAACTTGTGGGATAGGGAATAGCACAAAATATAGGTCCTAACATGGGATTGGTGCAATTTTATGATCCCGGAATATTATCGATTGTTATTAGTCATATTTTATTCATACGTAACATAATCAATGTACCAAAACAAATGTATATAAAATCGTGTACACATTTACATAATAATAATAAAACAATACACAGAAAAAATATTTTGGCACAAGTTTATAGGTATATTTCAGTAACATACGCAGCTAAATTTAGTTTACAAATTAAAAATTACGTAGGTAGCGGTTTTTATCTTTAGAGACGTCATCAGTCATCTATTGATAACAAAATCAAACAGCAGTTCTAAATAATACTGCGCAAAATGAGTGTATTGACCTGCGTGAGAACAAAAAAAAGGAAAACATATTAACAGATTATTATAGTCAATGGAAAGAAATCTTTTCAAATAAGTGTTTACCATAGAATAGAATGGAATAATTATCTTTATCGCACACTGTAAAATAATTTCTTACCATAAATAGACTTATACATATACTATGGTACTAATATTATTTTCAATAAGAGAGGACGTAGACGCCTTCAAAAATTTCGTAGCTGCTGGCTACGAGATTGGCTACGGATTTCAATGTGCTACGAAGTTCATAAAAAGCCGTGAAGTAAAATCACAGGTACAATCTTAATCCAAATCAATTTACTGTTTCAAGTTAAAGAAATAAGCGACCTATGCTATATTTTTCTATTTGCAGAATGGGCACTGAAGTAATAGTAGTAGTATTGTACCGGTTTTTCATTTATTTTTTACAATGACGAAGATGACGAAGCTTATTTTATATACCTACGCTAAATAATTTTATTTTCTGTGCAGAAGTAATTTTTTTTTATGGAATATGGCAAGCGATCGGCGCCGCCCATGGACACCTGCAGCACCAGAGGAGTCACAGGTGCGTTGCCGTCCTTTTAAGACGGATGGGAGGTATATTACAAACATACTTCAATTGGACTAGAGTTTAATTTTTATATTTAGATAGGTAATGCGTGGTTCCTTGGTTTTCATAGTGATAGCGTGCTTTTATAGCTTAATATTTTTCTCAAAAAATTTACTGCTCACCACAAATATAATTTTGAAATTCGAATCAGTGTTTCTAGAGTTTGATACTCTCAACCAAGCAAACAAATAACTAGCTTCATATTGAAGAATGGCTTCAACACTTACATCAGGCAATGCGGTGCGATGCTGTCCATGGCGCGCAGTCTCAGACAGAAGGATCTTCTGTCGCTTCTCCTCCATGAGCCGCTCGCGGTGTTTGTGTATGTAGTCGTACACGTTGGGTAGACCCATGATCACACACGCTGACAGCGCTGACCGGTAGATGTTCATGTCTGTCGCTTCATACCTTGGATATACACAAAAGATTTACATTATCATCGGCCTGAATATCCGCTAAACAAAGAAGGAATCCATGTTAGCAATATCCCTACGCTTGTCAGCCTCACGGATCGTATATTATAAGAACCAGAGATTTTTAAAGACAGACTGAATCGATTTTTATCTATGATATTCTATGAATGACGTATGGCGCCGAATACAATCCGGCCCTTTTTTTCAGCCGCGTTCAATCCAGCTAATCGTTGAAGCGCCGTATTTTAAAACGAATCTGTTATTTTAATAATAGCTAGCTGTAATTTATCACGTATATATTATACAATCCAACTGCGACATG